CGAATCTTATTTATGAAGAGCTCAGAGCAATCAAGCTAAATTTAAAAATGGATTGTGTTTCCTTGATAATGTTATTCGTAAATCGAGACTGTGTTATCCTCATTCGGTTTTAATATCAAATATTAATTAATTTAATACTTTAATTCTTCTTCTTCTTGCTTCGGTTTCCTCAATACTGAGGGTCGTGACCACCTCCTCGCAACAAGAGTTTATTACGGACCATTTCACGCCATTTGCCTCTATCTGCCGCCGAGTGTGCGAGTCCAACGTGTCAGGCCTTTACCTCGTGGTCTTCTTCCGTTCACCTTGCCAGTCACCATAAGCTTCTCCAAGCTGCCGTGATTCTTTCTTGCAATGTGCCCAAAGTATTACAGAACTCTGCGTAGACAGATGGTAGAAAGCCCCGTCTTTATCTGGAGTTCTTGGAGAATCGACACGTTGGAGCGATGTGCTGTCCAGGGGATTCCTAGCATCTTTCGCCAGCACCACATCTCAAATGCATCAATTCGGTCGTGATCGGCTTTCTTCATCAGTTTAAAAAAAAAATGCGCCATGAAAAGTACGAAATAAAATTTAAAAAAAATGAAAAAAAGTAAAACTAAACTTTATATTATCGTTTGAAAAAATAACTCGTTCTGAAAATAAAATGTAAATATCTCATTTGAAATGTAAACGCTTGATTCGTTTCATCCCACAAACGAGCTCGCTGCTCCAAATTCCTATTTACACTTACAATTCATGGTAGTGCTCCCGACTCAACCGGTTATTTTATTAAGCACTAGCCTTAAGCTCGCAGCTTCACCCGCGTGTACTACATATATATAAAATGATCATTTTTGAACATGCTCTAATATATTCTATTCACTATCAATACCAGTTACATGAACTAGAGAACTTTCACGTTTCAACCCCAAACAATTATCCATACCACTATTACCAGTATTTAATTAACGAATATTCGATATCTCGTCAATTTTACTGATGCTGTAATACTGGGGGAATAAGTTCCGGCACATATTTATAAAACTTGAAACACCGAATACTGAATAGAAATGTTGGGAATGATTTTGAATAGCTATCATACTATTTTAAAATAAAAAAGAAATATATTTGAATGTCTTAAATTACGGATCTTATTATTTCTACTACGGATAATAAGTAAATACTAATCACGTTTTGAGATGAGTGCGGATAAATATGCTTAATAATATCCAAATAGCAACTAAAATACTGACGCTATTTGTCTATATCTATACTAATATTATAAAGAGGAAAGATTTGTTTGTTTGTTTCGAATAGGCTCCGAAAGTACTGGACCGATTTGAAAAATTATTTTTCCATTAGAAGCCGACATTGTCCCTGATGAACATAGGATACTTTTTTAAAAAAAAAAATTTTTTTTTTTTTGTTTCATGTTTGTTTTAATGTTTCCGAAGCGAAGCGAGGGCGGGTCGCTAGTTAACTATAAAAATAAAGTATTCGTTTGTCCGCTAACCCTAAACTGCGTTCGTTAAACTAAGCGAATAAGCGCATGCAAATGAAGTGTAAATAAAACACGACAGCTTCCAATCTAATCTCGTTTCAGAGACGGTTGCCGCGTATCATTTTACATATATGAAAATTAAAAATATTACACTGAAGAGATTTTACGCAAGCGTTATATTATTATTCAGATAAGCTTTTATGATGAAGTACTCGTTCGTATTGATGTTATGAGCATAGATTATACACTTAATATATTCGGTTATGAGTTAATGTCGAGCGAGCATGATGTATGTCGTGCGATGCGTGGGTTTAACGTCAGCTTTATAAATAGGCTTCTTTTTCTTCTATACTAATATTATAAAGAGGAAAGATTTGTTTGTTTGTTTGTATTGAATAGGCTCCGAAACTACTGAAGCGATATGAAAAATTCTTTCACTGATCCCGAGTGAAATAGGCTTAATATTATTTAAAAAAAATTAATATTTTTAAAATAAAAATTAGGAAAATCCTTACTAAAACTCCAATAATGTAACCCAAGGTGTAAAAAAATTACCTAAAATATTCTTTACATCGTGTGTGTGAAAATTATTCTTTATAGAATAAATTAATTTAGTACGGCTTTGTAGATAGAACACGTTATTATTTACAAAAAGTGTCGCAACGGCATATGTCTCACTATTATAGTTACGCCGCAATAAGTGTTATTTTATTTAAAAAAATAAAACTACGTCATATATCGTTGAAATTTTTATTTAAGACCCGAGCGGAGCCGGAGCGGCCCGCTAGTCATTATATAGGTAAAGAACTCGCAAGCCATATCGTTTAAGTGATTTAAAAACTATAACAGTCCCAATTATATTCTAGTATCGGCTATCTTACCCTTCAAATTCACGTATATTTTGGAACCATGTATGTATATTATATTTTAAATGTTGCAAGCTCATAAATTGCTGCGATGTTTATGGATTTGAGTAATACTTTCGAGTGTACTGGTGGTTGGACCTCTTGTGAGTCCGCGCGGGTAGGTACCACCGCCCTGCCTATTTCTGCCGTGAAGCAGTAATGCGTTTCGGTTTGAAGGGTGGGGCAGCCGTTGTAACTATACTGAGAACTTAGAACTTATATCTCAAGGTGGGTGGCGCATTTACGTTGTAGATGTCCATGGGCTCCAGTACCCACTTAACACCAGGGGCGGTGTGAGCTCGTCCACCCAACTAAGCAATAAAAAAAATAAAAATATCACTTAAAACCAGATGAGCTTTGAAATAATCTGCATATAAAAACTCATTAATTAATTTATTTTATACCAAAATAACCTAAACACCGAAACCATGCTACAACATAGCCGTAACACTAAGAGTCTTACTCCATACCATTTAGTAACATTGGTACATAAATATGATATTCGCGATAGGCACTAATCATAAGTACATGATCAACAATTCAGAATGAAAACGGGTTTAATTTAATCCTAAAAGCTTACCATTAACAAATCAGTCGAACACTCTCGGCTAACTTAGTTTCTGGAGTGGACAGTTTGTACAGCACCGTTAAACTTTCGCCGAGCAAAACTGTTAACTGGTCCGAGTAGCCAATAGTGTCAGACTTGGGAGCGATCTGCAAGTTTCTACGGGTAAAACCTTTCAACTTTAAAGTTTTGTATCGTCTGTTCGATCTGTACTAGCTTTTTGAAGATTGAGAAATAGTTTTGCGGTTTCTGTTTTGTTTTCGAAATCAATAATAATATCAAAGAAGTTTTTTTAAAGCATAAGCAAACGAAAACCATTTATCTTCTTCTTCTATATATAGAAAAATGAATTAATATTCGTGGAAGTCCAAAGAAGGCTTAAAAGCTAGATAAATAAAAAAAAATGCTCGGAATTAAATAAAAATGACAATTTTGTTTTTCTTTTGATGTGTCCCCCGTCGGACGGATTCCTTTTGTTTGTTTTAAGTTTATTTCATACAAAAGTTTAGGTATTTTATTTATCGATTGAGGCACCACGAAGTCTGCCGGATCAGCTAGTCTATTTATATAACAGAAGATGCCCTTGGTGCTACCACCATTATTTCTGTTCTTTCGTAGAAGCATAACTTGGGAGAACCAGTATCTTGACTCGGCCGCAATGCATTCGCGCATTCCGGTTCCAAAAGTGATATGAGCGTTATTTCCATACGAAGGAGTTTTCGATTTAACTATTGAAGGTATGCTAGAAATCGACTGCCCGTCTCCACAGATATAAATGCGGCTATCATTCAAAATAGCGTCAAAATCAGCATGAAACACTCTATATGATAAAGTAATAAAGTCACGTCTATTCAAGACACCTTACGGAATCATCCAGGGATACTCAAATAACCAAAACTGAGACAGTTACGTAACACCGAATAAGGCTGTAACGTAACACGTTTCTCTTTACTTATTCTACATACAGAACGTATTTCAAGTATATTTGTTACGTGATCCGTTTACCGGGAGTTCGAATAACTTAAATAATAAATAATAGGGGCAAAATCTGATAAGTGTTTATTAAATTGAATAAAAATAAATCTTATTTAAAGTAATTTTATTACAAAAGACCATTTTAAAAACGAACAATGAATGAATACGTTTGTTTTTATAACATATTAGACATGATTTGTTGATGCCCTAAAAAAACAGTCAATTAACATAAAAAAGATTAGGTGCTTTTTTATTTAACGGCAGGCGACGTAACATATTCTCAACCCATACTTGACATATTATGTACATTCCGTCTACGTACATTTGCAAATGTATAATTTAACTTACTTTTATCTAGATTATAATAATATGAAAATGAATTTAGTTTCTAGAAAATATACGAGATAATAAGAACAGGTTCGGAGTATATCAGCGAAGCTTGAGAAAACAAAGTATTCGATAAAGTCCGTTAACTTCAAGAATGGTCCATAAATATTAAGTGTTCTTCGAAACGACGATTGAGTTGAGCTAAAATAATTAATTAATGAAATAAATTGAAAAAATGTATATGAAATATGTTTAGGGTATATTATATAAGGCCGGTACCAAATAACAACGTGTAGCTTTTCTGGTGTTGGGACCTCATCTGAGTCTGCACGGGTAGGTACTACCACCCCGCCTATTTCTGCCTTAAAGCAGTAATGCGTTTCGATTTGAAGGGTGGGGCAGCCGTTGTAACTATACAGAGACCTTAGAACCTATAACTCAAGGTGGGTGGCGCATTTACGTTGTAGACGGCTATGGGCTTTAGTAGCCAGTTAGTAACAGTGTAAGCTCGTCCATTCATCTAAGCAATAAAAAAAACGTATTATAAGTGATATTCTATAACAGTACAATTTTTGTTCCACAACGTTGTCGTTTTAAGTTTGAAAGTTTCGAACGACAACATTTTCATTACACTATCAAGATGTGGCTTATTGAACTGTGGCAGGGTTGAGATCAAGTAGTACATTTTTAATGTAAACAACCTATGACGTTAATTTTTTTTTTTCTAATAAATTATCTATTACAGGAAGAGATCGAGGACCGACCTAGAGCAGCCACGTTCCTCAGCTCGCTAGCGGACTATGCGAATACAATCCCCACGGCGTCCGCCGCAGACCCTGATGCCCCCAAGCCAGCCCCACCGGCCCGTATGGGCACGCTCATCGGCGTGTACCTGCCTTGCATCCAGAATATCTTCGGTGTGATCCTATTCATCCGGCTCACCTGGGTTGTCGGCACCGCTGGCGCTATACAAGGATTCCTCATTGTTCTAACCTGCTGCTGCACGGTAGGTGGCTTATATTCATACAACATACGAACACAACATCAATCATATTTTTATGTAAATTGTCGAAACCTGCAAAATACTCGATTGAAATTGTCCAAAAACAAAAGTCTGTTTACAAACTTGCCTTATTAAGATCAGAAAGCTCTCGACTCTCAATTATGTTTGTAATCAACTACCTCGAACAACAACAAAAGTATGATTGAGTTTCTATTGTTCATAGCCAAGTGTCAACTCTTCAAAATCTCGCTCCTAAAACTGATAAAACTGGGTCAGATAGACTATTGAGATAACGATGTAACCATAAAATATGTCGGCAGACGATGTTAACCGCAATATCAATGTCTGCCATCGCAACGAACGGCGTGGTGCCGGCGGGGGGATCGTATTTCATGATCGGTCGGTCCCTGGGGCCGGAGTGCGGCGGGGCGGTCGGCATGCTGTTCTACACGGGTACAACCCTAGCGGCCGCTATGTACATCGTTGGAGCTGTCGAAATCGTACTGGTTAGTAACTACAGCTACGCCAAAAGTAAAATTATAAAAAAGTAAAATATTTCTGCTGTGAAGCAGTAATGCCTTTCGGTCTGAAGTGTAGGGCAGCCGTTGTAACTATACTGAGATCTTAGAACTTATATCTCAAGGTGGGTGGCGCATTTACGTTGTAGATGTCTATGGTTTCCAGTAACCACTTAACACCAGGTGGGCTGTGAGTTCGTCCACCCATCTAAGCAATAAAAAAAAATTAAAAATGTTTTTTTTTCATTTCACATACCGCTTGAACCATTTCAAGGGTTTTCAAATTAAATTGAGTGCTAGTAACGGATTCATGCATAACTCATGTTTACTTAATCAAGCAGTGCATTAGCTCTAATACCTATGTGCACAAATTTCTCTCTGATATTACACCAACTTTCCGCCTCGGAGATACAATGTTATAATTTTATGAGACATATTGCAAAGCGGTGCTCATCTCTATTCGGCTGGCACACAGGTCAAGACTCTAGAGGTTCGCGTTCGATTTTCAACGACCGTACTTACTCTACACATGAAATAGTTCATCGGAAATAAGGAACAAATATTATCGCGATGTCCTTTTATGTAATTCTGAAAAGACATCAGGATATTTATAAAACAAAGTGGTTATACAATTTCAAATTATTTTATAAATAATAGATTTGAGACTAAAATGAAAATATTTTTTCTTGACTACTCGTGAAAAATCTTTCATAATTGACCGTGATTGATACTACATATTAAGCCTAAGACTCCACTGCAATAGTAATGCGATGCTTATCAGCATTAGGAATATAATTTTTAGATTAAGACGGAAAAAGCTAAGAACATTACAACTTTTTTTCTTTCATTTTAGACTTACATGGCACCGTGGATATCAATTTTCGGCGATTTCACTAAGGACCCAGAAGCAATGTACAACAATTTCCGCGTCTACGGAACCGGTTTGCTCCTCATTATGGGGATGGTTGTTTTCGTTGGAGTGAAGTTCGTCAACAAATTCGCTACTGTCGCACTGGCCTGCGTCATCCTCTCCATCACTGCGGTATATGCCGGAATATTCGTCAACTTCTATGGAAACGATAGCTTACAGTAAGTTATCAACATGAACGTTAAGAGTATCACTTCATTAAGAGCAGAAATCGTTGAACAGTCTCACGGCATACCGGTTATCAAAGCTGTAACAGAATCCCATTGACGTCAAATTGATCTCAAAGCAAAGTTTGAGCTTTGATAAACTAATTACGACTAGCCTGCCTCTTGAACCAAAGCGTATAGCTCCTGAACGCTATATATAGCTATATTTAGCGGTAGGCAGCGGCTTGGCTCTGCCCCTGGCATTGCTGAAGTCCATGGGCGACGGTAACCACTCACCATCAGGTGGGCCGTATGCTCGTCTGCCTACAAGAGCAATAAAAAAAAAAAAAAAAAAAAAAAATATAGGTATTAGAGTGGTACTAAAACAAACGAGCTCCCAACAAATTCTTCCACAAGTGCTCAAGACAAGAGCTAGTAGACATACTATTATCGTTTTAATTCTGTTTGTTCCTAATAGTTTCATCTGAATGAGTATATTTCTTATTCTAGTATATTTTTTACATTCTCGCGAATCATAAACGCAATCAATATTACTTTGAGTATTTTTAAACTCGTATTTATTATTCTCATTTTATTATTCTTGATGTTCTAAAAACTTTACAGAATTCGAAGTCGTATTAATATTTTGTATTGCTTAAAATAACATAAAATAATTCTAAATTTATCTCCGATAAATTAATCTGTTGGTTTTATTTCAGAATGTGTGTACTAGGACGCCGCTTGCTCAAGGATATTCATATTAGCAATTGCACAAAGGACCCAAAAGGCGAACTGCATGCAATGTTCTGTCCCGATAAAATCTGTGACCCCTACTACGAAGCCCACAACATAAGCATTGTGCAAGGAATTAAGGTAATAGTCGCTTTTAAAATACACCTTCATAGGGTTTATAATATGGCCTCCTTATTCTAGAATTTGCAAAATTTTAAAACGATATAACAATAAGAAGCTAAAATTCAAAGGTTCAAATACTTCTAAAACTTCGTAGTTAGAAGACTAGAAAGAGAATAATTAAAAGATTTGAAAATTTAAGAACATCTGTCGTTTTTTATTAACCAAAAAACAAATTTCTCGACTCAGTCATTCGTTATTTATAATAAACACTACAGTGGAACTTGACGCTGTATGTTCGCCACCCCTAAATATTTACTCTGGTAATCACTGTTGCTCTCTGAAGGATCTATATAGAAAAGTTTTTACAGTTGGGATGATAATGAAAATTCTGGACCGGATATATATTTTCACCAGTACTGTTCACGATATTGGACTAATAACATATTGGCACAATGCCAAATGAAAATTTTCTTTGAACGTCGCGTGTTGCAAACAAGTCTATTGATCGCAGGGATACTTCAAGCCTCAATGTCTTTTTGGTTTGCCATTACGCTTAGATACATTGACCATCAACTTCTAGTTATTACCGAAGTTTGAGACTTACAACTAACAGAAGTCCGTAATATAATTTGTAAGTTGGGATGAACATTGAACATGGCCGGTCGAGTCTCGAGCGTCGTTACCTAACAAAGTTTTGCTAGAGGCAGGTTTCTATATACGCGGAACATCAATCTTACACTTAAATTGTATTTAAAAATACACTTCAACTGTATATTTTTTAGTAATAATTATTTTGATTAACATTTACTTAATATACTAATTCTGGACGGCAAATACACCTTGATGTGACGCTACCCTCTGAAAGTTATGCAATAAGTATTTGGACCTGTAATATGAGTATTGTCGAAATTCTAGAATTTAATTCTAAAAGTAAAATCTTTGTGTTTCTCTCACCCAGGGTCTCGCAAGTGGGGTTTTCTTCGATAACCTCCAGGACTCGTTCATCCAAGAAGGTCAATACATCGCATACGGCAAGGAACCTGACGACATTGAACAGATGGAGAGACCTACCCACAATCAAATTTACGCGGACATCACTACGACTTTCACAATTTTGATAGGCATATTCTTCCCTTCGGTGACCGGTAAGACATAACGTGTACATGATTTGTTCACAACAAAATAACAGAAAATTAGCTTTGTATTAAGTAGAGCTGAACCTTATTTAGAATAAGTAATTTCCATTGATGCTCAATTTTAGAACTGGTATTTTATTTAAAAAACCGAATTTATATAATATTAAAATATGCACTCAGATAATCTTTTTTAAAAGGCATAATGGCTGGTTCAAATCGCTCCGGAGACTTGGCCGATGCTCAAAAGAGTATTCCAATTGGAACTATTTGTGCGATCCTCACCACTTCCACCGTCTACCTCTCGTGCGTGCTGTTATTTGCTGGCACTGTCGATAATTTGTTACTCAGAGATAAGTAAGTAAAGTTAACATAATCTTCAAGAGTAGTTAAGAGTAATTAACATTAATATTTTGCCGTTTACAACGATACAATGACAATTGTAACATCGAAGGAGTCAGTGTAACATCCGTCGAAACTTGTTCGTAGTCTAATAGATAAAACGCTGGGCTTATTCAAACCGAGTGACGTAACTATCCTCGAGTTAAAAACATCTGGCAGATCCAATCATTTTCACGAAGAATTAATGAATAGGATAAAGAAGAAGGGTCGTGAAGTAATAGGATAGTGAATAAAAAAATCGCCCCCATAAATATATAATATAAATAAATTATTATTAATAAGGCGTTTTGTTAGCACATAGTTATAACTTGCACGTTTCAGTCGCGAAGTAATCGTGCTACCCAATTTGAAGTAGCGGACAACTATAATGCAATACAATGCGGCATAATAACTCTTTTACTTCTTGTGCGCTAATTTACAAATCTTTTATTAGATTCGGTCAATCGATTGGCGGGAAATTGGTCGTTGCGAACATGGCGTGGCCAAACCAATGGGTGATTCTGATCGGCTCATTCCTGTCGACATTGGGCGCGGGACTCCAATCTCTAACCGGTGCGCCGCGACTACTGCAAGCCATCGCCAAAGATGAAATCATTCCTTTTCTCGCTCCATTCGCAGTCTCTTCCAAACGAGGAGAGCCTACCCGGTGAGTTAAAGAACTAATTATGATTGTTACAGTGAATACAACCAAACAAGAAATACAGTTTTAACATCTGTTAAAAAATAAAATTAATTAAGTACATGTAATTAAATATAATTAAATTAAGTTTACATACATTGCATAATATAATAATGTGGAACGTTTTATATCTGTAACATGTAAAGCGCAATTATGTCAATATTTACGTCACGTTTTCTTCCCTCGCTACGTGAAAATATCCTGGCATCCCCCTAGCAATTACTACCAAAAGCTAATATCAGAACTTTATAAGCTGGTCTTATTTCTTTAATTACGACAACTAAACGATAAAAAAGAATCATTGTTTAACTTATATTCGAAAGCATATGCACTAACAAAAACTCATCATCATTCTCCGGCCCTCTCCCAGTCACCTGGGGTGATTCCGCAACATGTTTTCTCCTTCTATACTCCTCTATCATATACTATTTCTTCGCTCACTCCCCTCTTACACATATCGTCTTTCACGCAATTCATCCAGTTCTTCTTAGGTCTACCTCTTCCTCTAGCTACAACTCGTAAAGTTCAATTACTTTACTTAAAGTATTATATAATGATCGCCATTTATGTGTTTATGAGATGTGTGGTATCTATCCAGGGCCTTACTCCTGACCATGGCAATCTGCCAATGCGGCATCTTACTCGGGAACGTCGACATCTTGGCTCCCCTGTTGTCCATGTTCTTCTTAATGTGCTACGGATTCGTCAACTTGGCTTGTGCTCTTCAAACTCTACTCAAGACCCCGAACTGGCGTCCTCGCTTCAAATACTACCACTGGTAAGTAAATTGTTATTAAATAAATAATCTAAATTACTTTGGCAATATTTATTTTTCAAATAATTAAGTTATTATGAACACTATATATGACACGATATATGAAGTAGGTACATTCATTTCTTGAAAGTACACCTGTAGTACATAGATGGTATTACTTCAGAAATCTTCCTAATAGTGCCAACAATAACTCATCGTACCACTACTCATGACAGTCCAGTGAAATCGAGAATGCACAGAGAACAATCATGCAAAGAAACATTAATTTGAATTCCCTATAAATTCACTTTTTCACTAGAATTTACTAGAAACTACATTTATAGTTTTACAATTGTCGAATATTATTAACCTAATAAGTAGATATACAGACTAATATTAATTGTATATATTGACACATCACACCACACCCATGCTATAGTCAATAACGACTAGATAAAGTTTCAATTCACTCGAAACCAACACACACACCTTATTTTTATATGCACAGTATATTTCTTATTATTATTACAAATTTTGAATTTTCAATTAGTTTTCGAAAAGTGCATTTAGTAAGTCTATTTGGACAAAGTTCTTGGAACAGTCAGAGGAATTCTACCATCACTCAGTTACTCAGAGAAATAACGACTGACACACATTGTTGTTGGAAAAGCAGAGCCAAATTTAATAATTAACTATTAAATAAACCAAATAATGTTTTCTTCTTCCAGTACCTTCTTATCAGTAATTGAGACCGGTACAGATATTAAGCAGGATAAAACGACAGCATAGCGTCCAATAATTATTGTCCTTGGTACTGCCAATTTCCGAGAGCATTAGGACTAAATTGAATTTTATTATGACACGAATTTATTTGTACGCCTGAACAGGTCCCTTTCCCTTGCCGGTCTGACACTCTGCATCTCCATCATGTTTATGACGTCCTGGTTCTACGCGCTCATCGCGATTGGCATGGCGGGTCTCATCTACAAGTATATTGAATATCGCGGGTAAGATATTTAGAAGACAAACATTTTCTTTGTTCAGTTACATTCCTTTAGTTGAGTTAATGAAATCCAATAAACCACAATAAACTGATTAATCGCTCTACACATTATATTATGTCAAGTTGACAAAAAAAAACAGATTTTCAAATCCAAATTTTCAGTCTAATATTTTTATGTTTTAAATGATATTTAAATTTTAAAAGAACAGCAACATATGTATGTTTACTAAAATATATAAAAATATGTTTATAAAATAAAAATACTGGTCATGTTCTGTTTATCCTGTATAGTGCTGAAAAGGAATGGGGTGATGGTCTCCGGGGTTTGGCTCTGTCGGCTGCACGCTATTCCCTTCTTCGTTTGGAGGAAGGTCCACCACACACCAAGAACTGGCGTCCCCAAGTCCTCGTTTTGGCCAAACTTAATCCCGACCTGATGCCTACCTACCGCAAGATGCTCGCATTTGCCAACCAACTTAAAGCAGGTAAGCTATATTTAAATAATCATTTTATAAGAATAAAATATAACTATTAAAATATAAAGAAAGCGTATTTAAGTGATGCTTAATGCTGCTGAAAGACATGAATCACCGGCAAAGTGGAAGGAAAGAGGCCTAGGGGGCGCAGTCCCATGCGCTGATCTGAACAGATTAAGACGTTGGACTCCAGCATCAATATCGCTATCCTCTGCGTGAGGGACAAGAAGGAATGGAGGAACATAGTCCTAACAAAAGTGCTCCACAAAGGTCACGACCCTCATTACTGAGGAACAGGACTCACGGAGGAGGAACCCTGCTGAACGAGCGATATCTGCTGATATTTTCAAATACGGAATCTGTTTAGTTATTTTGAATATTGATGGCTCCCCCTGCATAGGGAAGGGACTGACGGTGTGCGTGTCGGTGCTCGGCGGGGAATTCCCGAAGCGCGCAGGCGAGGCGTCTACGGCTCGACAGAACCTACGGAAATGTATGGACGATGAGAAGGTCAAAGGCTTCGTTGACGTGCTCGTCTCACCGAATGTTCCCGACGGACTGAGCCACTTGTGAGTTCATTTTATTACCTTACATTTTATTACTTATTCAATACGTAATCGTACACTATCCCATATACATTTTGAAGTCGTCGTGGCCTAAAGGATAAGACGTCCGGTGCATTCGTATATAGCGATGCCACGGTGTTCCGCAGGCGGGTACCAATTTTTCTAATGAAATACGTACTTAACAAATGTTCACGATTGACTTCCACGGTGAAGGAATAAGATCTTGTAATAAAAATCAAACCCGCAAAATTATAATTCGCGTAATAACTGGTGGTAGGACCGTGAGTCCGCGCGGGTAGGTACCACCATCCCGCTTATTTCTGCCGTGAAACAGTAATGCGTTTCGGTTTGAAGAATGGGGCAGCCGCTGTAGCTATACTGAGACCTTAGAACTTATATTTCAAGGTGGGTGGCGCATTTACGTTGTAGATGTCTATGGGCTCCAGTAACCTTAACACCAGGTGGGCTGTGAGCTCGTCCAGCCATCTAAGCTATCAAAAAAAAACTTATATTGATAAGCACAGAGTTGCGTCTGAACATCCATCAGGGTCCAAACGACGGGTCTAGGCGGTCTGAAGCCGAACACTGTGATAGTGGGGTGGCCGTACGGCTGGCGACGCGCGGAGGAGCCTGAGCCGCGACACCGCGGGTTCCTGCACACCGTCCGTGCGGTGGCCTCGGCTCGCATGGCTCTCCTCGTACCCAAAGGCATCAACTTTTACCCTGACTCTACTGAAAAGGTACTGCTCGTATCCAACTACAACTTTGGAAGCGCTAAAAATCGCTGTTTTATTATTTTGAAGAAAAAAAAACCCTGAGATATTATAATTGGTCATTAGGACTATTTCTGATTAAATCAATCAAACCCTCCAGCCCATAGAGTAAGAAAACGCTTTCGACATTGACGTTTTAGTATTTTTGTGCACTGGTAACCATTTACCACCAGCTATACTCGTAAGCTAGTCTACGCCAACAAAAGAGGTGTTGGCACATTCGTATTATGATTTGATTTGGCTTATCAATACCGACACCGAAATAGTCATTTCCAAAGATTAAGCTCAAGCAAGTTACCAAAATTTCTAAGCTAAGTTTAAGCTAAATCAAATTACCCACACATAGATCAATTAGGACAAGAAAAATAAGAATTTGTTAAGATTACATGCAAATAAAGCATAAAAAATGTATTGTAACATAAAATCAAATTTAATCAATATTAAGGTATCTGGCAATATCGACATCTGGTGGATCGTACACGATGGTGGCATGCTGATGTTACTCCCGTTCCTGCTGAAGCAGCACCGCACCTGGAAGAACTGCAAGATGCGCATCTTCACCGTCGCTCAGATGGAAGACAACTCTATTCAAATGAAGAAAGACCTCAAGATGTTCCTTTACCAACTCCGTATTGAAGCTGAAGTTGAAGTTGTTGAAATGGTACAATTTAATAATATAGTTAAATTTTCTAATAGGGATGTTTTCAAATATCCGAAACTGTTAGGAATACGTATTCATTCTGTTGGATGATTATCAGCACGTCTGAATTATGGTAACCGGTGACCTAGAATAAAGTAGATTCTCAATTTTGCTAAATCCCTTAGCGCGCCCGAGTTTCGTGCGCACATCACAAACTACTTTTAACAATATTAGTGTAAAAATTCAGAAACCTCGTACGTTGTTATTGACAAGTCGACTATGAGTTTTACTAACAGTTCTGAAGATTTATCAAGTTAGTTTTCAAAGTCAAGTATTACATATACATTTGAATTCTCCATCAGACTGACAGCGATATATCGGCCTACACATACGAGCGCACCTTGATGATGGAACAACGCAACCAAATGCTCCGCGAACTGCGCCTCAACAAACGGGAGACAATGGGAATGGTAAGTACACGAAGAAACCGTCTACATAATTAGAGGAGCGTCCACACTAGTCAAATATAAAGACCATATCAAGTACTTCTTTTAAGATTGTCCAACATTTCCTTTCTTTATTTAATTGTTATTCAAATAACATTCTTAAAGGTTTGAAATAAAACATTATTGACGTCATCTGACGACAAATTTGTAATGGACGCCCCTCCTTCTGTATCGAGTTTCATCATTATACAACCTGTAAGCTCAACTCACTTTAGTGTAATCTAGACAGTCATATAACAAAAAGTCACGCGTATTTACATTCATATGTTTCGTCTTACGTGTTGTATAATGTTCGGAGGCAGCGTTCTGAAATAATCTGGCTGGAACAGTTGCAAATTATGAAAATATTCTAAATTTTAGTGATATCTAATTTAAACAAATTGTACCTACTGCAACACTAAATTTGATGTGATAATCCCATAACATTTTACTGTGTACAGTGTAAAATATTTGTTAATAAGTAATATTAAATTTATGTGTTCAGATTTCTGCCTTAAGTACAACTGTATAGAGCTTGAAATCATAAAGTGATGTTTACACTAACATGTTTGTCTGTCGCTACCGGTGCAGATGCAAAATTACGTGGACTCGAATGAAAACGCTGAGGAGAAGTTGCCTCTGGTAAAAAAGGACCTTATACCCTGGAATTGAGTCCACTTTTTCAGCTAAATTTTTATTTGGAATTTATTTCTATTTTATATTATCACCTACACGTCTGAATTTTTATTTTAGTCAATGATTTTAAGACTTGTAGTTAAGCACCAAGCGATGTGTATTTGTATAGATATGTTCTTTTCGTGCTATATTTTTGCGTGTCTGTTGTCAGTGCCCAATCTTTTCATTGTACGTCTTTGTATTGATCTCTCGAATATCGATAGGGTTCATTTCGGGTCATTTGGACTTATTTTTATCTTTACGCTAACCTTGCAAGTACTATTTTACTGTAAATACCAGTAGCTCATATACTTATATTGGATTCGGTCAACAAAACCAGTAAAAATTTAAATACCAGTATAAAGTATTATTAGTATTTATAGTAGTAATTAAAAAAAACACCGAATGAGCCCTGTCACCCATGCCCCACGTTCATCATCATCACATTGTTTTTAGGCATTCAATGTTCGCTTTCGATGTTTAATCTTTATTTACATAGATTATAATTCTTCTTCATTATATCTGCGCACTAAATCATATTCCTATCTCTTTTATTTAAATTAAAGTCTATCTTTACATTTAGTTTAATGTCCTGGTAAGGAAGAAAATAAAAAAACCTGAGTTTATGGAACAAAATTTATCAAAATGATTACGAATAGTCAAATCACAGATAATATAAATACAAAATAGTTTATGTTAATATAAATAAATAAAAAGTGGTACATAAAGCTATTTTAGAAATATGAAACTCTTAGGTATATCTAAAAGCGATAAATATAAATATTCCTATACTATTCTATGTCTTAACAAAACTGCTCTTTTGCTACCGATGCTAAAAAATTCGAATGCAAATGACAAGAAATGCATTCTATAAATGAAAAAAAAAATACATTATAAATTTGTGCAAACTTGATAAGAATGTAAATCGTTTGATAGTAATTAAACAGAATGATTACCATTTCCCAGTCACCGTCCTCGCCGAACCCGTCGCTTGCGACGAAGGGCTCGACGAGTAAATTAACTCATAAACAAAGCCCACTGAGTTTCTCGCCGGATTTTCTCAGTGGGTCGCGTTTCCGATCCGGTGGTAGATTCTGCGAAGCACTGCTCTTGCTAAGGCCGGTGTTAGCAACACTCCCGGTTTGAGCCCCGTGAGCTCACCTACACGTCAAGGAGAAGCTGAAATAGCCTCTCAAGGCTATCAGCATAGGTAGGAAAAAAGAAAAACTATTTCCATTTCGACATATTGATCATACGAGTGGTATGAACGTGGTTTAGGTACAGGCCATAGTGGATCACCATCACGCCGACGTGAAGACCGCTAGCAAGGTTCGGTTCGCGGAGCCCAACGCTCCCCCCGCATACAGCGAGGCCCCCTCGCCGCCCCTCGCCGACAACGAAGAGAAGGAACGAGACGATAAGGTGAAAACGCATTAAAAACATTGTCGTATTGATCTCTGAGTGGAGTGGCTTTCGTTTTAAATTCCAAACATAATTAACTTGAACTCAAATTATTTTATAATATACCAACGAGAGTCGTAAAAACATGGACAAGCAGATGTCCTTCTAATATACTAAAAAAAATTCAAATAAACTTAAATTAAGAAATTTTATGTCTTAACGTCAAATTAAAAATTACTAAATTGTCGTGAATCATTCGAAATAATAAAATTTTCGCCAGTTCTTAGCTATATGTAAAAGCTGTATTTAAAATTAGATTACAGAGTGTTCTTAATTTTCGAATGATTTCTCGATGAAATTCAAATAGGCTTTCACTGTATTGCGCTTTCGCTAAATGTTAGACCGTAATGAAGCTTGTACCAACAAACAATTCAAAAGCATTCAATACAATGCAGCTTTGTTGGATTCGCAACAATAGGGATGCTGTCTCAATTATATTTTTTTTGTATAAATTTAAGGGAGCCCAATTCAGAAAGCACAATCTATTAGAAAATTACCAAGTTATGTAGAAACCATTAAATTCTGGTGGTGGGTGTAATTATAGAATAACAAAAAATTTGAACATGAGAGGATTCTAATCTTCCTACGTTTAAAATATGAACTGATCTTTTGTGATTAAAATTTTTAACGTCGAATATTATTTGGTGAAACTTTTTAAAACGTTTTTCCATGTATTTAGCAAATTGTTTAATGTATGATTCGCTTTGTCTATTAAATGTCTTATACATAACGTGCTGCTATCCTTAAAAGGTGTCTTTAATAATCTTTGTTTTTTACAAATTAAAATTTGGAATGAGACATAGGAAACATCCCTATTGATGCTGGGTGACGGAAGTTGTTAAATGTTGTGTACCGCTCACCGTTTGAATGAGGATACGTGTTGCACTTCCATTATGTTTTGTTTGATCGTTAAAATATTATTTTACATACAACACCGTCGCAACGTTTGACCTAACGAGTTCAAGCGAATCAACACACGGTAGTCATATGTTTTCAACGTTCAGTTTGATTTTGGTTCACTTTAGTTCATTTCATAGATTCCATTAGTTGAGTGATTGGATGTTCGATGTCCGTAGTATCTGTTTAAACAATTTAAATAATATATGACATCCCGTGTTTCATTCGCCTTGAATCCGTCATGTGCAACTGTCGGTTCGCGGGACGAAAACATAAATTTGGAAACGAAAATGAAATGGAATTGGGTAAAGTAGGACGACTTCCGAAGTAGTTTGTTGCACATAATCGATTCAATGTGGGATTCGCCCGATGAACAGTCGCAGTGTGAAGGCGCCAACTCCCCGCCACCCGAAGACAAACACAACGATGCCACCGCCAACGGAGACGCTGTTAACGCCATGCCCACCATGTCTGACATCACGCCGTGAGTACTCCCAACGCTAATTGCTATTACAGTGCTCATTGAAATTTCCCAACTCTAACAGACGGATTTATTTTTATTGACTTATACGAGCATACGGCCTACCTGATGGTGAGTAGTTACCATGGGTCACGGACGTCAGCAATGCCAAAGGCAGAGCCAAGACGCTGCCTACCGAAAGATTGTTATTAAAAAAGAAGTTCGAAGAATACTTTAATCAACATAGAGCCATTGGAAACATGACATTCGGTTATTTATTGTTACCTCTACTAATAGAGCTGATTTTTTAAATTTTATTTAATAATAATAAATGTTATTCAGGAAATGACATACAACTTAAATTCTAAATAATTTCTTTCCTTGCACGGTTTCCTAGAAGTGATTATACGAAGCGATGAAGCAACTGTTATTACACATACCTATAGAATTTAAGGTCTTCGCTCATTATTTTTGGTGTTACAAGTGTTTAACTTAATAGGTATGCAAATGTTCGTGTCAATCGGATGTATTAGTATAGATGAAAATTACGTTACAAGTCAAGCTGATAAAGCCCTGGTAAAAAGTATGCCTCGTTATATTTTTAACAATATAGTTCAGTCAAATATTGATTATGAAAACGCCCTTGAAGCAACTCAATGTATTGATTGACATTGAAACGATAATAGAATTCCAATGAAGGGTTAGATTTATCCTTATTTTAAGTTGCTACTTGACTACGTAATCTATTACATTTCTGACTTATGAAACCCGACAGGAATATTAAATGTAATAAACATATTTGTTGAAATCACTCGTGTGCCTTCTGTGATAGTTTTATGGTATTACATTAAACACCTTACCTAGAATAACAAGAACAACCATGGCCAGATTTACCTAACCGCCCCGAGCAACCCTGAAGAACATGGTCCCATAACCTACCCTATCCTATTACCTATTTTCGTCATGAATTAACTAATGAGTTGTCCAGAGTATGATTTCGTTTAAAGAATTTATTTCGTATGCTATAAAATCAAACACTTTATGATAAAAGTATCTAATAAATTGAAAATGAACTCTGGTGCTTGGTGTTTAATATAAGTATTTAAGCAAATGTATTTATTGTTTTGGGACGTTTTAAATACTATTTTTAACAGGATCTCGCCATGTTTTTTTTTTGTTTTCGTACGTTTTTGGATATATCAGCGTTAGTTCAAGCGCCAAGATAGACCAAATCTAGCTACATATCTATTTCGAGAAGTCACCAACTAAAAATTGTGTTAAGAATCCGTTAAATAATAGTATTTATAGTGTGAAACGTCTTTTGATGTTTGAGATAACCGCTGAAACACTTGGAACTTTATTCCTTAGATGGGTGGACGATCTCACAGCCCACCTGGTGTTAAGTGGTTACTGGAGCCCATAGACATCTACAACGTAAATGCGCCACCCACCTTGAGATATAAGTTCTAAAATCTCAAGTATAGTTACAACGGCTGTCCCACCCTTCAAACCGAATCGCATTAGTGCTTCACGGCAGAAATAGGCGGGGTGGTGGTACCTACCCGCGCGGACTCACAAGAGGTTTACCAGTAAACTACTAGGTTTACTTGTGGTAGGTACCTAATTGGCTATTTATGCTGCGAAGCGATGTTTTCCAGTCCAGAGTACCCTCCTACCGGATAGCGGCTATACAATACAATTCAGACTTCGAACTCGTGTCTCAATGTGAGTTGAAACATTGACGTTATAATGTTGATATGCTCCGGTAACCAGCTAACACAAAGTAGACGGTGAGGTCATTCAATAAAGGAGTAAAAAAATTAAAAAGAATCATTCTACCTACGTATTCATATAATATTTCAGTGACGAAGGCACGGTACGTCGGATGCACACAGCCGTGAAACTGAACGAGGTAATAGTGGCGCGGTCGCACGACTCTCAGCTCGTCATATTGAACTTGCCCGGGCCGCCGCGTGACACCAGCGTCGAAAGAGAATCCAATTGTAAGATTTCACTCACAATAAACTACAGTTTCGAAGCTAGAGTTGAATTTGAAAATGGATTTGATAAACCACCAAAAACACATAGATAGTTAGATGTTCAAGTTAAGGGTTCGGCGAATTTTGTTGGAAAAGTTAGCGGAATCGTCTCATGAACTTATTAAGATGAAGTTATTTGTTAAGGAAATGTATTAATATATTCCTTTTAATACTGTATAAACTATTATATGTATGTATGTATATACTTGTTTTTTGTGTATGTATTTGTAACTTAATATAAATTTCCTTGCACCTACCACTATTCAGTCTGCTCTACCTTTGGTTGACTGGTAGAGAATGCCTTAGACATTAAGTCCGCCAATGTAAAATTTACATGAAATGTAATAAATAAAAAATAAATATTCTGTGTCTTTGCTTCTCACCTAGAATCAGATTATCAAAACCAATCGTTTGGTCTAGGCTAGGCGGACTGCAACATTCAGTTGTCGTTCAGTTCAGTTTGAGCTCTTCGGCCTGTCTACATCGAAACTAATATAAAATTTCTGGCGTTACAGACATGGAGTTCTTGGAAGTACTGACGGAGGGCCTGGAGAAGGTGCTGATGGTGCGCGGCGGAGGACGCGAAGTGATCACCATTTACTCGTGAACGGCGATCACATGCCAAGATCAAATATCAAACCTCCTTGTGATTTTCGTAACTATTCGTAGATACTGTGGTTTGAAAATTCGAACGAATTTTTTTTGTACATACGAGATATCCATCGTCTACTTCGGATGAGATGTAATTTTTGACAAGGATCACTCACAAATTAATCTGTTAGCTATAAAGCAATACTTCAACTGTCCGTTCTATCTTGGGCACCTCTTATAGTGAATTTTAAATGTTAAAATTTTATATGAGGTCAATCAATATACATAATATTATGTCTGCGTGATATTAAATATTCCGTTAATGATGTCGACTCGCTCAACAGTGACGATGGATGTAACGTAGAAATGTACAGCTCGGCGTCGAGCGCCCTCTACTGTGAAGAGAAGCGTTTGACGTTTGTCAAGTTGGCACTACGCTGTCACAAATATCTTTGTACAAAATTTGCAGTCACAATTTCGACATAAATATAATAACGAAGGAAAAAGTTGCAAAAAAAAAAGAAAATCGCACCTGGTTTCATTAAATTTGTCGTTCATCTAATTCTTCATGAGATCTCAGCAGCTAACTTTTGAACGAATTAAGTGGGATATAATTTTATTATTTTATAAAATTTTAATAACAGTACCTAAATGGTAATTTCGAATTGTCAAACATTTTTAAAAAAACATGGTGACACTAGTTTGTTTTAAGAACGCATTGAACAAAGACATTTGGGCCAGTCTACTTTAGCCTACTTCTACGACGATGGTAATACGTTTTGTTGAATTTGCTGTTTAGACTAATGTTGTTTTGGAATTTATTGACTGTTGTGTAGATATAAATACTTATATGTATGAGTCTGAGGAGCCTTATCTATCGTTCGTTAGCACTAAGTTTGTTCCGTTATAAGTTAGACTAGCTCAGAGTTGATTTAGATGTCTAAGCAATCCTTCGGTCACCGACACGCCGTTCAAGTGTCTTGTATGAAAGTGATCGTTTTAATACTTTTGTATTGCTTTACGTTGTTAATAGATTGTTTGTGATATTGCACAGTGGTGACTATCGTTACATTTTTTGACTTTTTAAAACGTATTTTGTAAATAATATTCTGTTTTAAGACGACACCTGCTCAACTTAAAAGTTAACGCATGAGCACGTCTTGTGATCGCGTGTTGCACGTATAAAATATTATACTAATTCGAACATTTGACAACTTTACAAAGTAGGTCGGATTATCGAAATTCAAATCAATTCTAGTCAGTCTTCGGTGTCATACATATAAAACATCATAATGAATCTAGTACCCAAAGTATGTCATAAATAGATGGTCCGTTTCTTCGATTTCTTGTTTGATCGATATCACTCTCTCTTAAACCTGACAGGTTTTATGATGAGTAGATACTTAGGAAATAATTCAATCCTCTCAGTATTTACAAAGTTAATTATATTCATGATTAAGACTACCTAATCACGATTTATTAATATAATTAGAAACGAAAAATACATTCTAGATATAGACAATGTTTAGTATAAGAATATTCTCCAGTTGCGATTGACTTAGTAACTAAATTTTGTGCGCACACTCGCGTAGTTAGATGAAGACATTCTATAATCTTTTTAGTTTCTATTAGTTTAAGTTTCGTATGACGACGATAACGAGCTGTAGACACAATAAAATAACAATGAAAAAGCTTTGTTACCGTTCATAGCCCAGTTTTTAAGCATCGTGGATTTTTTTGGTCATCTTTAATTAACTTTAAAAATACATTTTCCTTGAGATATCAGCGTTTGCATAAAAATACCGTAATAGTATTTCCGTTTAATAATATCGCTGAAACATCTGTAATACGTAGGGATACCAAATAAAAAACAATATGGTGAATTGTGATTTTAAAAAAGAACTTGTCAATTTTTTTTTTAATATTCGTAGAATGTTATCCACGATTTTAAATATTTGTATGAAATATCCTACTGCAAAGTACCTTTATAGATAAAAATGTCGTACAGTAGTTGGTGTAGTCCTTAAGTCTCGTGACAATGATAAGTTCACCACATAGGCTAATCATGTTTATCATTCAATCGTAATCAGTAAATTAGATATAGAAATATTATATTTAATATTTTGACATTATTCTCCTAATATTATGTCTGATCTAAATACTAAAACTATCTGGAATCTGAATACAAAGATATAAACTAAAATATATAAAGTGTGATGTTACCATCCTTCAATGCTCAGCGAGTAGGTGTACTTTGGCGATTACTTTATTCAACTAGACTCAACTATTACAGAAACTAAAGCCTTTGATCGTGATTAAATGAACATAAAATGATTTTGGATTTAACCTAAAATGTACCTAAGAAATGAATTGGCAACACTACCATCACTTAATAAAAAAAGTATTTAATACCTAAATAATTCTAAATTATATTGATGTTGCTGAATGAATTTACGTTTAAAGTTTATTTATCACTTAGTGATGTAAAGAACAGTGTTTGAAAAATAGTGAGCACATATCTTAATTTCCACATAAAAATATATTTTGTGTATTATTATTAAAACTATTTATGCCTATTAATAGGTAATCGAATTCTATTTAATTTTAAAACAACTATTAATTTTTACGGCATTGTAGGTAGATATTAAAATCTAAAATTTTATTAAAGTGTTTTTTTGAATTAAATAAAAACATTCAAATAATGTAAAAGTTCAGGAGCTTTGATATTTCAAGTCTTAGTTTTATCGAATTTATCTAAATGTAAACTTTACAAGCATTTCGTCTTATAAAATAAACGAGAATTAAATATTTATGAAACTCAGAATTAACGATNTTACGGCATTGTAGGTAGATATTAAAATCTAAAATTTTATTAAAGTGTTTTTTTGAATTAAATAAAAACATTCAAATAATGTAAAAGTTCAGGAGCTTTGATATTTCAAGTCTTAGTTTTATCGAATTTATCTAAATGTAAACTTTACAAGCATTTCGTCTTATAAAATAAACGAGAATTAAATATTTATGAAACTCAGAATTAACGATGTTCATTTATAGAAAATAAATATAAAGAACTCACATACATATATTGTGCCAAACGTTAGCGTTTCTCAGATGCAGTAAATGTACTTAGCTATAATTATTACCCAGCTTCCGAAACCGGAACGACGATAAACTACCCTTCCGAACGGAAACGGAAAACCATAATGGACCTACTTAACATTTTAGTACCTATTAAAATATTTCGTAAAACTGCAATACTCGTACAAAACTGGAAAGACTAGAACTGACTTACTTAATTCAAAATCCAGTGTCAAAAATTATGGACTACCGACTGTTTTCATTGTCAGGAGCGGTAGTTCCAACCCAGCATCACTGGTGTTTATGTAATACTACTTAAATACCTGTAACAGTTACAAAACACCAACATCATCATAAGCACATACTGCATATATATAGTTGAGATTAAAATAGTTTGAAATCGAGTTCGAAATAACTAATTTAACGTTTTAGATTTAGCTACTAAATTGTGAAACGCCTAAACTGACCTTGAAAGCTTTGAGATTAGAAATCTAATTTGATACCCTTCGATCGCGAATAAGCCCAGTCTTAGGACCAGGCAAGACGTATACCTAGTGGCCAACAGCAGTCCCGTGCTAAACACATAGAATCTAAGAAGTCCCAAACTAATGCAACGGAAAATAATTGGCGACTGTATTGTGTCAAGTAATTAATTATTAATACTTATGTAATTATAAAATTATCTACTTTTAGATTTTAGGCTGTGAATCAGCATAAACACATTCTTAAAAATTTAAAATTATTATTCAAGCTAGAGTTGCTGTGATACACGATTATGGCTATAAATTAAGGATAAGTCATTTCTGGCCGCAGCACAAGACGGTGATGAACGGAGATGTCTCCCGTCTTCACAACCTAACGACGCCGTGTTGTATTGTTTGTGATTTCACTCAATATTCTAGACGCTCATTTAACCACCCTTGGTCGACTCTTTGGAATTTAAAAGAGTATGTATTCAAATTTAATATGGGCTTTACTTTCGCTGTTCATTTGTAATCTAATTACTGTCTCACTTATAAAGTTACATTTAATCAAGGCTGTCTGTACTTTGAAATATTTGGAAAGAATTAAATTTTATAGAACATTATCTCTAACAGCCAGCAATGCGTTTGTAGGGTCTCTCTGTAAGACTTACGCATTTTACACTACAAAATTATGAGTTCAGGAAACTGTTGTTTAGTCGGGCAATAAAATACATTAATCCTGTTAGATAGAAATCGCTGAGCGGTATGCTAGTTCTTTGAGGTTTAAACACTTTCATCTGGGTCAAGTTTTTTAATAGAAAATGTATTTCAAATAATAAAAATTTAATAATTAAAACTTTCAAATAATAATTCTAGTGAATTAGTCAATGAGTAATTATTATCTGTAAGATGTTATGAGTATAATGAAATAAACTACGAATAAAATAATTAACGACTTTTATTTTCACCTTTCTTCTTACAACAAACAATTTTGATAGGCCTACATGATAAACACTTATACAAAAATCAATATTACACTAGACTAGAAAAATAATTTATCCTTAACAATATTAATCATATAGGTACTTATTTTTAAACCTATGGTGGAACATCTGTTCTAAAACGTTGCAGAGAAAATTCATATTGTAAAACTTTCGACATTACCTTATCTTGGATAGAATTAGTGGTAAAAATTACACTTGTGTAATGATTTAATAGTCCAAATGTGCGTCTTCCAATGAAGACTAATGGGCATTTTAAAACAAAGCATTGGGTAAAACAGTTACTTTTGTTTTATACAAATGTATAAAACAAAATTATATCAGTCTCCAATTCTTTGACTTTGCTATTATATTGTTATGCCCACAAACAAATCTATTAAAAAATAATATTTTTGATGTTTCTCGTTTTTACAGGCCTCCCTTTCAAATCAATAAGTTTTATGAAGTAGTTCCACATGTATAAAGTCCCTAAAATATTACAATACCTATTTTATTTTATAATAACCCAAATGAATAGGTATAAAAAATCGATAAACCCGAAAAAATACAGTTTTTACAATAATCAAACAAATCCTCTTTTTTTTTCTAACGCTGAATAGTACATTGTGCACCAAGGGAGAAAAATTGGACATTTCCTCCCGCGTGTAAACACGCTGGAAATATCCAACTTTTCTCCCGCTGTGCATATACAATTTTTTCTCCTACCAGGCCGAAAGTTCGGTGAGTACCGAACCGGGGTCAAGGGCGAAGCCCTGGCCGGGGGTAGGGGGGGCGGAGCCCCCCGTACTCATAAAAAAACAATGTAACTGTTTTTTACTTTTTAAATAAACTACTACTAATTGAATAAGAACTGTCTGATGAACTCATCTTTGTTTAATACTTCACTATTAAATTTTATTGCGTTTTTTTTATTTCACTTTTACACTAAACACAATATTGCAAATTACCCGTGCACAACATTGGCGGAGAATTTTAGGTGGGTGAGAGCAGACGTAGACACTAACGCGCATGCGCACTTGTCAGTACTCAGGGAGAGAAAGTTACACTTTCTTCCCTGTACAGCGGGAGGAGAACCGAACTTTCGGCGTAGGTAGGAGAAAAAATTCATTTATCACATTCACCACCTGATGGGCACATGAAAAATTAATCAGCATCTCCTAAACTATTTTTAATGTAATCTCTTAGTCCATTTGAATTGTGGGAAGTATAAAATTGACTAAGCAATGAATAACTGAGACTGGTTACATTCAAACCTATAATTTGTAAATGTTTCCTCCTCATGAGCTGTGGACCAATGAGGTTTTTATTATCAGTACAAAAGTCATCAGGGAGATGTATGAGTATTGCTCTTGTTTTATCTTTATCATACTTAGATAACCAATCAGACTTACTGCAATTCAAACCGGGGGGATGTAACATAATATCTATTAAATATGTTTGATCTGAGCAAAAGTGCGGGACAAGTATGGAGGTTGATACATTCTGTTTACCACCTGCTACCCATTCAATATCAACTAATATTTTGTTTATTAAATTCTTAACCCTAAAGTCCTGTGATATTGGCTGAAGATACTGGTCCTTAGGCATTAAAGGTCCCAAATAATTTGGACATTCTATAGACAGTGCAGTATCGATTAAGTGAAGTTTCTTCAAAGTGTCTGAGCTTTTGACATTAATTAAATACTCAGAACTAAAAATCCTTTTTGTTAGCTTCAGTGGATATTGACTAACATAAATGAAAGATAGTATTATGGAGCATATGTCATCAGAAGTCATCTTATTTAGATTTTGAAGAACAACATCCTCAGCAAAAGACCAAAACTGCTCATGAAGTGGTTTAAAGTTAAAATATCCAAATGGATATAAAACAGATCTCAAAAAGCCCGCTGGTATGGTGCTGCCTTGATTGAAAAAATGTTTACTACATGCGTTGAGAATTTCATCATTCCTTATATGAAATTGCATACAATAATTCAAAATACCAACAATTAAAACATGCATATTTATTTTGTTGCCTTTAAGTTTGATGTATTTTTCTACAGCAATTTCAATTTGATCATCTGTATACTTGAGCTGTGTCAATTTTGATATAATGTCTAACATTTCATCATCATTTAAGGCATGAATGTTTGTGTGAAGCCACCTGCCAATCACAGCAAATGACTGTACAGACAAATATTTCTCTTGAATGAACACATCCAGAATTTGTTGCATTACTGAAACCGTAATTTTATTCCAATATTCAGACAGCTTCTGCTCTGATAAGTTCAGTACAGTTCTTTTACTTGCTTTAAAACCAGGGAGAACGGAAAACAACTTTGATATATTTGTTTCGTTGATATCTGCTTCCCGTTGAACAAAACCAATCCATAGTTTGTCAATGATTTCTGAATATTGTTGGTCACCTCTTTTTAATATGAGAAATTTTAAAAATTCACATATTTGTTCCACTGAAAGCATATTGTCAAGAACTCTTNTTAGTACAGTTCTTTTACTTGCTTTAAAACCAGGGAGAACGGAAAACAACTTTGATATATTTGTTTCGTTGATATCTGCTTCCCGTTGAACAAAACCAATCCATAGTTTGTCAATGATTTCTGAATATTGTTGGTCACCTCTTTTTAATATGAGAAATTTTAAAAATTCACATATTTGTTCCACTGAAAGCATATTGTCAAGAACTCTTAACATGATCTCTTCAGAAAACTTTGGTTTGTAAGGTTCCATAAAAGTGGATGTTGTGTTGAGTATGTTTATGATGGTCTGTGTATCCTTCGTTTTTGTTACAACTTTTAGTAATTTGTCAAGTATAGCACCTTTAGCTAAGTTAACATGAACATTTTGAGTTGGATTTTTTTCTAATGTATAAATTCTTTCAATAGCACCTAATGCAATGCTCGGTGTTATTTTTGTACATTTGGATAGTAATGTAAATACATCTCTTAGATCTAAGCATTGACTGAACTCTGATTTTATTAAATTATAATTTTGGGAATCGTTAGAGATTCTTGAGGGCTCTGTGTCTACAATAGGCTTGTCATAAATTTCTGATAAGTCTGTTAATGTTCTCACAAGCACTGGGAGTTCCTGTACATTATATCCGTGCTCTACCATAATAGTAGAATTGCTAAATTGTGGATTACTTCTGTTCTTGTCATCACTAAAACTCCTGCGGAATGTCGAGTTGATACCAGAAGCCTTCGTATTAGCATTACAAGATAGGATATTCTTCTTTGCCTTTAAGTAAGTTCTTATTGCAGTTGCCATTTCCAAAACCAATAACTCTTTATTTAAGATACAGGATAATATTTGTATCTCCTAACATGAAATTAATCGTAATTAATTAAAAAATGTTTTCATAGGTAATACAATACACTTCACGCTTAAAGGATGTTTTAAACAATACAAGAAATCAAAACACTGGCGATTCATTAAATTACATTTCGACTTTGACAGTTGACATTAAATGCGTAGGATAAACACTTAAGATTAAAGGTCGTCTTCACTGACATTTTTTTGTTGAAGTATTGGCCGTTTTCCAATTACAGCACAAGAGCGCATTATGCGGCATAATGCTCAACTAAGCTTCAGCATAATTCAGCATTGTGCGTCACTGAGTCGCATTATGCTCTGTAATTGGAAAACTACCATTAAGTAATGGTTAATTACAGAGCATAATGCGACGTCCAACGATAATTGATCAAAATTAATAATTCTGAGCAATAAAAATAAAAATATCTAGTAAGAGGGGCCAACTTAAGGGTGATCATTTGTTTATTTAATTATAAATATATAAAAGACGAACAAACAATTTCTACATTCGAACATTAGCGAACAAATAATTAAAAATAAAATAAATCCAAAAATCAAAAAAGGGAGCCAAATTCAGTTAGCCTACCGTGTCTATTTCGTTCCCATGAACAGCTTTTTTTAAGGGCTTTTATGATCTGGTAACTAAAATCTTTAGGTCATGTCCTATTTTAATTTATATTCTTATTTTCTTCACAAATGTGGGAAAATTCGAAAACCCTTGATTCTGAGGTTCTGCCAAAAGTCCACAGAAAAGGTTTTAATAAATAACAACCATTTAACCAGCACTACCTACGGCTTTATTTCATTCCATCTCATTTATTTTCGTTTAATTTCATCCCAATTAAATAAAGTCTTAAATTAAACAACTTTTGTCTCTTTTCTTTTTAAATCATTATTCATATTAAAATGAAAAATAAGAAGATTTAAGGCTTGACTTAAAGGTTTCTAAGGAATTAAATCTTTAAGAAAAGTTAATTCTTGTCAACACTGTCATTGTCATCATTTGTCATTTTATTGTTACCATTTATATTTGTTGTAAGTACGGTACATATAACATATAGGTACTACTTCGATAATTGTTAAACAAATTTGAAATTTCGTACCGACACTACATGCAGTAGAAAACTTTAGTTTTTCATTGCAGTTTGATAATTATCTTTATTTCTGGTAATCAAACTTATACCTAGACTAAATTCTGCATAATTGTACTCATCGCAAAATAAATAATTTTGCTGACTTTATCCTGTTTGTTAGATAGATCAGTGTCTTCTAAATCTCATTCTACGCCTGTGGCAGGTAAGTTACTAAATATAACTTTAATAAGTAATTATATCCTATAAAATGCAAAAGAAAAATTTAGGTATCTGTTTTTAACTTTTCAACAAAATGTGCATTCCTCGCGCGATATTGTCAGTTTTATTTTCAAATTCGAATATAATTTTAAAATACTCGGAAGATCAATATAAAAATTTCTCTGTAAAAAAATAGTTTAGAAAACTATATGCAGACGTAATTGTCGCAGACTTGAATCATATCATGTTAAACTTCGAGCTGTTAGCTATTTTATGTCATAATATGTTCGCTATATTTTGAAAAAGCGATACTTTATTTTTTATGACCCTTGTACTCCTTTGATCTGAAAATTTGCCTATGATTACACAACTGTGAGACACAGCAAAACCTTTATCAAAAAGTAATTGAGAATTTCATAAATAAAGCAATGGTCTGATATCATAGACGCAATGGCCATTTTCCTTAATAATATGTTATTTTAAATATATTAAATCATCTAATTTACATAGCAAAATTCATATCACAACTTGTTAAAAAAATATGTTTTTTTCTTTTTAAACGAAAAAGTTCACACTTAATAAATATTAAGACTACTTTTTCGGTTTAATCTAGCATCCAACAATTTCAATACTTTACTTTTGCAGTCACATTGCACTGCATTCAGTTACAGAATGCATTATTATTAAAACACCCTTTAAAACAACATGTTCAGTCTGTTAAGAAACCAATTATTATTTCTGAGCTTTCGATGGAAATGAAATTCAAACGAATATATTTGTGTTTGTCAACATACTATTTATTGCATGACTATTGACTATACATGAACTTTTTACAGTTACTGCTCTGAAGCTCAGTCTTATAATGTAGACACATCAATACAATACTTTAGACTATTTTTTATTAGTCTAAGTGAAATACATCTGTAAAGTAGTACCGTAAAATGCCTGAGATGGTAAGTAACTACATATTTATGATATCCACTCAGTAATTAATAAGTAATTCATTTTTTCAAGTTTACAATTTAAAAAAAAAACCGCACTTCTCTCCTTCACATTTTAATTATTTTGTGGATATGATTATTTTAAAATTTCAATTAATCTGATTATTCAATCAGATTAATTTCTTAATTAATCTGGTTGAATATTTCATATCAGATTAATTTCCAATCTGATTATTTAAAAATTTCAAACACTAGTAATAATAAATGTGATGCATTTTATTTGATTTAGGCACAGTATACCTACCTTACAGAATAGAATTTAAATCTTATAATAAAAGATGAAGATGTCACTGGACATCTGATTCTATTTATATCACTATTATGATTAGTATCGCCCAAAGGAATAGCTCATTGTTAAGTGAAACAGATCGCTACGAGACATTAAAACAAAAGAGAAAAAATATATATTATTTGATTGAACTAAATGGGCTTAGTAAGTTTATAGCTCTCCTGGTGTTAGGTAGTTACTACAGACCAAAAATGCCGCCACTCATTATTTAGATATGAGGGTGTAGTCTCACATTGTTAGCATTCCAATCCTAGCCTGAATTGATATTGTATTAGTATTTTGGTATCAATATTATCCTGTGTTCATATTCAAATTGCCAATGCAAGAAACAACATGATGTGATTCCTAAGTATTTAATAAGACTATATGTATCTGGTATATTCATACCTATATTGTAAAAGATCAAGCCTGGAGTTTCTTGCTAATTCTTTTCAGTGGTGGAAATGCACTTAGTCTGCAAAGTTGCTATGATTTAAAAGAGCACATTCTTATTTGGTTTGGTACAAGTCAAACGGAAATCTTTTATACTACTTTGTAAGTACCTATTCATCTTATGCTAGTATCTATTTGTGTACTTTGAAAAGGTGTTTAACAAACAGATGTTGCTAAAGCCTTAATATTTTTTGTTAATGAGCCCCCACAAAAATGCTACTTCCAAAAGTATCGTTTAAAACGAAGTTTTAAATTCCAGATTTGCATTTTAGTTCTTCATCAATTCTTCCATCAATCCATTAACTGTCCTTTCTAGCTGCTAGGTACTGTTTATGAAACGAACACAAACAAACACATAAAGTTGACTAATAACTTCCAATCAAGCTTGTTAACCATCGGAAACTTACAACATTCCCTTGTATACGACAAACAGCATGTAATGTCATCATTGTAATTAGCACGCAGCGGCGCCAGATACATCGTTTTATATACAAACTGTACACAAAATCACTGTAAATATAAGTGCAAAGAAAACGAGATAACAGCATCGTGATAAGCTGGAGTTTTTTGAGATTATTACCTTTACGATAAGACGAATGCGTACCTGTTATTTTGACATGTTTAGTATTATCCTACTCGTATTAGTAGTCATTGTAGCGCAAGCTGCTAACGTTTCAACAATTTCCGATTATAACAAGAATATTGTATCAATCGAAGAGTTTAATTTAATTGATAAATATATAAATCTGAATCAAAACAATCATATGTGAGTAAACTATATTTATAACAATTTTAGACTATAACAGAAGTGCAGTGTTAAAAATGATGATACATAGTCACTCTCGCGAATCAATTAGTATTCTTTAGATCAAGATACGTGGGTGTGTCAAGTACATTAAGATATTCTTTTGGAATATAAATAAACCTTGAAGATAAACGTAGCGTATTGGGAAAAAAACGCGTCAAACACGAGCCTCTCATAGGGATGGTCGCAGGTTCGAAATTGTGCTATTCATTCGAAACATTTACGGTGTATTCAGCTTTTACGTACGTAAACTGATATGTTAACGACAACCAATGCAATGGATATACATGGTTAATACAATACTTTGAAGGGATGTGCTTTTAAAATCATAGCATCTTTTTTTTTTATGATTGAAGGATTACTGGTGGCCCGGAGGCCTTTCCAGTTTCACAGGGACAGGTGGGCGAGCAAAGGCTCAGCCAGGAGGGGTGGGATTTGCTAACAGCCACCCGAGCGCCTCCGAAGGAGACCTAACAGCTCAAGAGTAGCTGCTTCGCGAATGAATCTACTACCGGATCGGAATCGCGACCCGCTGAGAAGATCCGGCGAGAAACTCAGCGAGCTGATTCATGGGTTAGGTTGCACGGCGAACTCTTTGTTGAGTTCGACGAGTACGGTTACCGAGGTCCCTAAGCCTGCTCCTAGTNCCGAGCGCCTCCGAAGGAGACCTAACAGCTCAAGAGTAGCTGCTTCGCGAATGAATCTACTACCGGATCGGAATCGCGACCCGCTGAGAAGATCCGGCGAGAAACTCAGCGAGCTGATTCATGGGTTAGGTTGCACGGCGAACTCTTTGTTGAGTTCGACGAGTACGGTTACCGAGGTCCCTAAGCCTGCTCCTAGTGTTAGAGCTGAAGGCGTCGTCTTAGCATCTCAGCTAGCTGGTCAGCTTAGACTTATATAGACAGATAACCTAGCGTAACCACCTAGAATTAATTGGAATTGGTTTTATTCGTGTTTGGACATACGATTTTCGTATAAAATCTTCGACACAGCGCACATTGCACATTTTGTAAGAATTCTTGATGAAATATACGTATAAAGAAAGCCGTATGCGACCATATTTATTTTTCTTAATAAACGTGAAAACGACATAGGTATTATGCTACCTTAGTTTCTTATTAAAACAATATGCTACCTAAGTTTCTTATTAAAACAATTTGTGTTTGTTTTAATTAAAACAACAATCTTAATATAAAGTTTTCTTGCATGTCACTATAATGACATTTCTCAAAAGTAATTAAGTTCGTATTTGCGTGCATATTTGACCTTCACAATATTATCATGTTTTTTCGATTGATGATTATTTATATAATATCTCTATAGATATAATCAGAGCGTTTCCTGGTTTCATTGATTGCCTCCAAATTAAAAACGTTTGATAGATTGTCGAAATAATTTAACAAAAGAATATTGTGAATGGCCAACAGACAGTGCTTCTTCTAGAATTCAGTTATTAATTAATTCAGCTTGTCTGGACCCACTTTCCTCCTATCACGTGATGAAGCTTATTAAAAATTATATTCACCTACGACTAATAAGTTCAAAATGTTCGTAATGGTTAAGATGGCTAATTTTGAAATTGCCACATTAAAATTTGTCAGAATCATGTACTACACATATCATTTCAATTTATATCAGATAATAATATCATGAAGTTATTAAATAATAAATTCCTATGGCCTACATCCTTAGACTTGACCTTGACTACGGAACGATAAATCATCGAAATAAGCACTTAATATTTTTCTGTCTTGTAGTCTGCATAATCGAGCCTTTTATTGATAAAGCTGTCTTCGAAAAAATTGTTTCAAATTAATACGCTTTTATTAGCTTCAGACGCATGTATGTTAGTATGCAACGGAATCTTTGAACATGATTTTAACCCCCTTCAAACGTCAGATTAACTCAAAATTTGGTATAACATACGTTATAAGAACCGAAGACAATTCAATATTTAAAAAAAATTTGAAAAAAATTAATTGAATTAAAAAATTAAAAATAAATGATATTTTGGTATCAGTAGCTATAAATATTTTATGAACAGATATGAGTAGAAGTGTTATTTTGATAATATCCTGAAAAGCACCCCACGTTTTATTTACAATACAATCATTATTTCTTACACTATTTTTAAATCAAACTTATTTTTTATTTTTTTGTTGCATTTTGTATAAAAGCGTATTTTGTTAGTTTTTTTTAAACAATTTTTTTTTTTAGATTGAGATGCAATTGAAATGGGGTATAGCAGGCGTGGGAATGATCGCCCATGACTTCCTAACAGCATTAGACACTTTACCTCCGGAACAACACAGGGTTGTCGCAATAGCCGGCAAAGATGTAGATCGCGTTCAACGATTAGCAACACTGCACAAGATCAACACAGCGTACGAAGGTTACGAGCAACTGGCGCGTGATGCTTCTATAGGTACCTAATGTTCCGTTGTTTGTATTTAGTAGTGGACAGATTAGAAAAAGAACGGCTGCCTAATTGTAAATACAATTCGTTGCATATAAATTATAAAGGCACAAATCAGATTTGTAAATATTGAAATAAGTTTATATACAAATGTAAATAAATACGTATTTGAATGTATCAAAATAATAAAATATAGAGGGGAGAATGACTATTTTGTTTAAGTGATATTTGGAGAGCCGTTTAAAGTTTAAAATTTGTAAAAAATATAATAAAAAAACTTCTTCAGCTATTTGAATGTAGTAAACTTAATTCAAGTTCAATTAAAAACATCGAACTGTTGATGCTAATACCAAATGAAACTCATCTTTAATTAAAAAGATAAATGTCGCTTAAACGAAATAGCCTTTCACCACTCGATATGGTTATATTTAATACTCATCCATTAATACTCATTTTGAGCTCGACTACCCATCTAAGCAATAAAAAAAAAACACTTTTTTGTCATCTAACATACTCATCTGAATTTAGTGGAGGTTTTCTTGTTTCCAGACATTGTTTTCGTGAGTGTTCTGAATTTACAGCACTACGAAATTACAAAGTTAATGCTAGAAAACGATAAACATGTACTCTGTGAGAAGCCAATGGGTATGACTTACAAACAGACTAAATCATTAGTGGACTTGGCGCGTGAGAAGGGTCTGTTCCTTTTAGAAGGAATGTGGTCGAGGTTTTTTCCAGCTTACGACGCATTAGAGAAACATATAACCACTGGCGGCCTTGGTGAAGTCTATCACATCAACGTTCAGTTTGGGGTTCAAATTAACGACATTGAAAGGAATCTGTAAGATGTTTTTACAAATTAGCACTTAACGCCTGTTTGCTTTTAGGAGGCCCGCTCTTTAGATTATCAATGCTTGTCTCACGCAAATCATTGATTCTTTCATGAATCATGAACAATTGCTTGCGTGGTGTGTTCTTTAATGTATTTTATAGTTCATATTCTTGGCTCATTGAATTTTAATTGTTGATTTATGCTAACGCATTTTAAACAAATTACTTCGAAACTTTTCTTATTTAATTTTATGTAAATCGTGCGATAAAAAAGTGTGAAACGAAAATCACTAAAGATTGTTTTGTTGTTACCTCAATTTGAAATATCCAATTAAACTACTTCGGATACTTTATTTATCGTTACAAGAAAAAATATATATAGGATTATGGCTAGATGTTCTGAAAATAAGTTGTCACCGAAATCCAAGAGTAGGAAACTAGTATTCTCTCGTCAGCAATCGTATAAACGATAATTATCACGTGACTTCTCTGGTCTCATATTCTCTTAAACAATAGTATGACAATTTCAGGATGAAGGACCTCGGTGGTGGTGCGGTTTTAGACCTAGGAGTGTACATGTTGCAGCTAATAAACTTCATATACAAGGAACCGCCAGTGGATGTAGTGTGCACGGGGCATTTAAGCAAAACGGGAGTAGACGAGTCCGTGTCGTGTGCTTTGAAGTATAAAGACGGAAGAACGGCAACAATGGCCGCCCAGACCCGTGCGACCATGACCAATAAAGCGGAGATTATTGGTACGAAAGGAACAATCTCTGTAAGTAGCTATATCCATATACTAGCGGTCCGCCCCGGCTTCGCTTGGGTCGCGATGTAATGAATTTAGGTAAAATTTTTTGGGTTACATTATTGGAGTTTTAGTAAAGATCCCTAATTTTTTGAAAATATAATAAATATAGCCTATGTCACCCGGAGATAGTGTAGCTTGCCAACAGTGAAAGATTTTTTTAAATCGGTTCGGTAGTTTCGGAGCCTATTCAATACAAACAAACAATCAAATCTTTCCTCTTTATAATATTAGTATAGATAATTTCCATTATCGGGGCGCGGACTCCGTTTTGTGCAAACAATGGTGTGTCTCGTTTCCTTTCTAGGTAATAAACGAGCTAATAGCTATATACTAAACGATAATTATCGCATTGCTTAAAAACTTACATATATGCATCCTACAATAGGGAAATCTCCTTTTTTTGTTCATAATGTATCTATCATAAGAGTTAGGAGCCTCTCAAAATTAAACGTTTGTTCTGCGGTTTTAAAAATACTTTTTATTCATCTATATAATAATACTAGCGACTTTCACAAGATGACATTAATATGCGAAGCAACATCGAAATCCTGACTTATAATTTTTACGTGGACACACTCATTCTATTCGTGAAGATTTGAATAAGAATAAAAATCCTTTACATTCTTATGCACCCGTGCTGTCATTTAAAGATAATAATAGTTTGCTTGTCTGAATCGATTTTGATCGACCTATTGATGTAACGATTTGCGACCTTGATTAATACATCGCAGTCTGGCTTCAATACCCATTTGATTAAGATGTTTCTCATTCTTGGTCTGGGTAATTGTCGATTTGGCTAGAAATGTCTAGCTCAGAATGGTTTAGTTTAAAAAAATATCCACAAAAACCTACTTCTTTAGTGAAAATTAATGTAACAAAGGCATTGTATTACAGTATACTAATAGAAATAATTTTAGAAGGCCATACAAACGCACTCCTCAATGAGTCCACCTCTATATAAACAGGCAAAGACAAAACACTTATGAACCAATTTCTCGCCCGTGAATGGATTTCCTTTTCTTTTTGGTGGACGAACTTATGGTGTTATCTATATAAAAATGGAAATAGTGTGTGTTTTACATTAAACTTTAATAAAAGACCAAAAGAGAAAATGTTATAATCCATTTAATAAAACTTCGGGTGTCAGTGATTATAATCGAATTTCGATCATTGGCCAAACATTAATAATTTTAAATAGATATACATAAATTTAACAATGTGCGTCGTAACTATGTCAATTAAAAACGAAGTTATTTTAATATTACGATTTTTTTTTTGCATTGAAGTCGAGAATATCCACAGTTGATTTATGGTGACCCTGACTGGCAGGTCAAGGTTGAACATTACCATATGTAGGTGAAAGGGGAATTATGTTGTGTTAAAGTCGTTTACCTTATAAAAACCTTATATGTAATGACTGAATCGCGTGCTAACAAACGGTTTACGGAATATTTCCGCAAATGTCCGTATGGTGTTAAATTGAAATATGAATGCTAGACACTGAGACACGTGTACGAATAATGACACATTACTGCATAAACATGTACCTGATTGTAAAATATAGCTTAAGTAGTAACATTAGTTGATATTGACGTTTAATATTACAGATGAATCACGGTATTCGTTGGTAGACACGATAAAGTATATTTTAAGCAAATAAGTCTTCCTCGTTTAATACGTAAAACACCCGGCTTAGCCTTGGAACAGACACCAATTTCAAGTCTAAGTAAGAATGTACATAACATAATTAGACTCGTAAAAAAACCTATTTACTTTAAGTGACATTTTTGTAATTTTTTTAAGAGCCATTTAATATTTAATATTTCAAAAAAATATCATGACAACAAAAAATCTTCGGCCATTTGAAAGAATGTACTCATCCTACGCATGTTGGAGAATGGGTATCAAGTAAAAAATTTCTACATTTTCTCATCTACTAGCACTATGAAATTCATCCTAGCAGTGTGAAAAGGTAGATTAGAATTGGGAAAATCACAAAAAATCCTCTAGGTTTATAATGCCGATGTTTCCCGAGTGCTATGATATGTCCTTCTTCAAACAAAAATCTTGAGCAATAGGTTGCATTGCCGATATCTATGAGCATTTGTAACAGTAGGTGGAATGTGAGCTTATCTGTCTTCTAAGGCAAAAAAAAAATCGAGAAAGTTCCCGAACTTTCAGCCAATCTGATGAAATAACAGGAAATCTGTTTTAAATCCATTTTGACGTTCAATAGAACATGCTTTAGTTCGTTACGACGTATATTATTACGAACCCGCTCTTTGTTCATTAAAAATTCATCGTCAATAAGTGGATAGCGAACCATGTCTAAGCAGTACTGTCGTCTATTTTTCTTCGGCCAAACAATAACTTTTTTTTTATTTGGGGGTTAGGTAACATAATATCTGTAGGTGGGTGAGGTAATGTTCGTTATTATTGGACTTCGGTACTGGTGCACGGTTTGACAGACCGTGACGTTTTTTTCCTACCTATGCTGATAGCCTTGAAAGGCAATTTCAGCTTCACCCTAACGTTTAGGTGAGCTCACGGGGCTCAAACCGAAACTGTTGCTAAAACTAACCCTAACACGAGCAGTGCTTTGCAGAATCTACCACCGGATCGGAAACGCGACTCACTGAGAAGATCCGACGAGAATCTCAATGAACTGTGTCTATGGATTTATTATACTCGTTGAGCCCTTCGTTGCAAGCGACGGGTTCGGCGAGGACGGTGACCGGTGCTTGAGCCTTGAGTACCTAAGAGCACCGTTAATGGATCGGGAGGATTCGTAATGACGTGACCATAACGTCGCCAGTCCCACTACTATTTAGACGTTTTATATCTTTCACTCTTTCAATAAATAGTACACCTTTCAGTTGGAGTACTTCTGGTGTCCAACGGTATTACACATCTCGGCGGCTAACAGCACCGAATGGACATTACCGAAGGGCAAATACAAGTTCCACTTCCACAACAGCGCTGGACTCAGCTACCAGATACAGGAGTGCTGGGATTGTATTAACAAAGGTAAGCTTAACGAAAAACGAGCCGCGTGGATAAAAAATCGCTTTTATCATGGCAACACTGATCAAAACGCACCTGCTCGACGAAATATAATGAAATATATTTTGGACGACATTCGACTTAATTAAATTGGATGTCAATGAACAAACCAAAATGGCGCAAAAATTCTCACCATGAAGCATAATTGAAAAAAAAACAAGTTCTTAAGTATCAACGGCTTTCAATTGAATTAATACAAAAAGAAACACATTTGTACCGGCAGACATTTTAATTTAGAACTCAAAAGTATTTTGTGAATCCTCACGGCGTCGATGTCTTAACGTTTTAGCGTCCTGTCTATTTCTGTCTCAGACGATAGCTGAACTATGACATCATCAGTCAGGCAGACCGGGAGGGATTTGCGCTGTCGGTAATTATTTGATGATGAGATCTTACACCGCTTCTTCGATAATCTCTGTCTGATAATCATAAATAATAAAAAATAAATAATTCTCATCGCATAACATTTGTTTTAAATCGTATAAAATCTATATTGGATAGGTAGGTACCACAAATGGTATTCATTACAATACAATTGTTTCAGGTATTGTTGAGAGTCCAAAGATGAGCTTAGATGAAAGTATTCTCTTATCCAAATTGACGGACACTATGAGGGCGCAACTAGGAGTACTTGAATCGGAATTATAAACCAATCGATTGATTATTTTTATTGTACAATTTACATTTTAAATATGGCACGATAGAGTTCAGAACTCTCGTAAAAGTTTTGGGATCTATGGAAAAAAAGGATAAAGATTTTTGCTTTGTTTAAAAATTATTTGAATGAAGATTCAGTATTGTTTTTATTGTTTAAATTAATTATACTTGCATTTAAAATTTCCTAGGTCCACCGCGTTTTTAGGTAGCTGTCGCTCCTCATAATTTTATTAGTAGGTAGTTCCCAATTGTTTTTAACCTTAACAGTTTTAATTGTTTAACTATTATAGTTTAGATCGTTAAGTTTTTGTTGATCGCTACTATTGACATGAAAATTGAGATCTAGCGCGCACTAAGAGAGTGCAAATGTGACTTGAAACTAATGTTTACAAATGGAAGGTGACCGATGGGACTTTTTTCTCCATAAAAAATCAAGACCGACTAAAATACAGGATATAATATTCATAAAGCAGGGTGTTTATAAAGCACAGACTATAATGTTTTTGTGTATTTGTAAAAGTAATGATTGTATCATTGTAATTTAACAAAAACGTTTTAAAGCTTAAGATCTTGGCTGTATGGACTACGTTCCTTTTGCGCGTCTGAGTAGACGAACAAAACCAAAAAATCTATAAATGAGTCGACTATTATCAAAGGCGGCAATCTGACTTTTGGACAATGATTGGTAAATCAGAAAAACGAATTATTGACTTTGTATTCCATCGGCAGTCACAAAACTCTTCGGAACGACATCTTAGATAAATAACAGGTTAACTATTAACCTTTATTTAATGCAGGTTTTGAACCGTATTCTTTGAAGGAGACGATTATATTCAAATAAATCTGTATTGACATATCAATAAAATTTTGTTGTCCAAATGCACAGATTGCCGCCTTTGATAATAGACGACTCAAATATTACACTTAATCTTATGAATTCACAAATAGTACCTATATACGTAGTAAGTATATCCTACCAATCAGTATTTAAAATGCCAGTATGAAACAAAATATAATTTTGGCTTTAAAGTTAAGAATGTTGAACAAGAGCTTCGTGTTGTGATATTTATGCGTATTTAATCGATACAGTATAGTCTGTTAGTTATCTTACATATACTATAACGGTGAAATTTATAAAACGGTATTTTACCTCTACTAACTGTGATTAAGAGAGTCGTTGTGAGACGGTTGCTATTTATTCAAATTAATAAAAAAGTGTTATTCAAATTTGTTTTATTTTGATTGTAAATATATGTTCACATTTCACAATAAATATATGTGCTTGATATCCATAGGAATTGTGTGTAAATAAAATTAATTATTCGTTTCTAAATCTACACTATAAATAGTAGGTATGCAATCAGGTTTGCCACCCGTACTTTATAATTACGTAAATACACGAAAATACTTTATTTCGCATGATTTAGTTTCTTTGGGATATTGAAAAGTTTAGTCATTTGTATTTTTTCGTTAACGCCACATCACCTAATCTCTTAGGTTAGAGATCTTAACCTCAAATGTCAACAATGTCACTGTCATTAATTGTCACAATTTCTTGGTTAATTTGTTCAATTAAAATAAAAATATGTAGGTATCTAAACATAATAATAATAAATAAATAAATTGCACTTTATTTTAATACTATGTACTTTTTTCCTACCTATAATAACCAATGTACTTTATCGGCAAAAAAAAGGTGGCAACCTCATATACAATCATAATCAAATTTAAAAAACCTTAAGACAAGTATTATTTATTATGAATACATATAACATAATTATAGTAATAAAGGTAAATCGTAATGATTAGTAAATATCTCATTTTACAAAAGGAACATTCTTAATATATTTTTGTTTAATACATAAATTAAACAAAAAATCACAATTTTATGTAACGCACCTAAGATAGTATAGTGGCTTTGTAACACAATTTGTGGGCTAATGGACCTTCAAATAGACTCATATTTATTTTTGAAAGCTTTGGAAGACGTTCCTGATGATATCAGCGCCGTCTCGTATCTGTGTCTCTGTGATGACGAGTGGCGGCGCGAGGCGCACGGTCTGTCCGTGCGTCGGCTTCGCTAGCAGGCCATTGTCGCGCAGGCGGAGACACAACTCCGATGCTGGAATGCCTACGCAATAATAAAGACCATCAGTATCAATCACTTTTAATGGGATTTCCTCTTTTATGGTTGGACAAACTGGTACTGTTTACCATAATATCCTACATTAGGTTATTTTACCCTGGGTAAGATATAGTAAACAAAAGTTTACCTAATGAAACCCTTAAAGTAAACGGGAGCTCATGAATGCGCTAAGGAGGCTGAATGGTATTACCTACCCGCGTGGTAAACTAAAAATTTTTTACGGGTTTGATTTTTATTACACGTTATTCCTTCATCGTGAATGTGGTTTGTGAAAACGCGTCAGGAACGTATTTACCTACATCATTAACGTAGGACAAGCTTTAGTATACATTTCTAGATTGAATTACAATGCTTTTTTTATGAGTGGACTAATCCCTCTTTTGAAGAGAATATCAGTAAGGACAAGGTATTTCGTTAAAACACATTTTCCTGCACCACCACTTTTTCCTTCCTAATCTGTTTTTTTTTTGCTAACGTAAATAGAAGAGACTCATTCGTCACCACGTCGATGGTAACCGTCACCAACGCCAGGAGCACAGCTGTTGTTGTTATCTACTAAGAAGAGCTCTTTTCGAACCCCGTTAGGACAGTGGTCGCTGATACGGTGACAAAGAGTAGCACTAGATAATCTTTAATTGGAAGGGGTAAAGGTTATCGGACTTTTCGGAATTTCTTCATTCGCTCCACAATCATTTATTTGAATATGCAGGAATTGTTTTCTTTAACTCCTATATCAGACATTTACAAAGAAACCAAACTCACTGTCATCCACTACAATAGCACACATCAGTCCCCTTCCTCGAACTGTACGAATCTGTGTTTTTGGTATCTGACTCAGCTCTTCGCGTAGTATTTTGCCCATCCTCTCAGCGTTTTCTGATAACTTCTCATCCAGTAGCACCTGAACCAATCATAGTGTTAGTTCGTTTTTATGGCTATTGAAATCAAAAACGTCACAATACGAAAATATTGATATTTATATTCATAAGATCAAAAACGTTTTTCGTTTGTTCGTCGGTTATATAATCTAGCCATTTTATTCTCGTGTAGAAACCAACGTGATTATATTGTATTTATTGATTACGACTGATTAGATATTTTATTGTAGCCTAAATGTGGACTTTCATACTACCCACGGATTACTTCCGCGTTACATAAATAACTTGCAGTCTGAACAGCACCTTTTAATACACTAGGTAAACTTAGGCTTAAGGCCTCAATTTGTCGCGTTATGGTGTCAAAGAACTCGATAAATCACTTACAGTAGTGTGCAATAAAATAAAACTGTATAGATATTCAGAGGTCAGCATACCTTAATAGCTTCTGTGGCTACAGCGCACGCCAAAGGGTTTCCTCCGTACGTTGATCCGTGAGTGCCTGGCTTTATCACCTGAAATCGAGTTCGTAGAAACATTAAATCGAATACTACTTTAAATATTCCTAATAATATGTTATAAAAAAAAAAAAAACATGTATTCAGAAGTTAAACCATCAGAAATGTTTTGTCTTATTCTTTCGCACGCTTAAATTGTATAGACATATATTATGTTTGTCTCTGTTTATTTATTCTCTCTCTATTCATCGAGTTTTCTTTCAGAGATAAAATGAATCTTGTAAAGGTTAATTAAGTTCATCTTTTTAGTCACTTTTCGAGTGTCGTTTCTGTTTTGTTGTGTTTCAAATAACAGTGGTACTAAAGAATCATTTCACTTCAATGAAAAATGTTTCACATTCTACAACCCGAAGCTAGGGATCAACTATATCACTAATCAATATATCAAAGAAGCGATTTTTTTTACAATTACCTACTACCTATTTTAATGAATTATTACCTACTGTAATTAATTATAACCTAATATAATAATGAAACATATTGCGGGTGTCAGGTCACAGACACGACTTGGCGTATTTCACAAGGTTTTTTTTTATATATTTCAAGTTCATATCGTGATATGTGTTATTCTGATTAACTGCGTGGAAAATCTAGTGGCGTATGTACCGATACAGATAAAAGATCTCGTGTCGTGGTTAGGTTAGCCATTTGACACTTGCAGATTATCTTATGAACTCTTGCAAACTAATTAGATAAGTCGATGTTACTTATCTTTTACGGAAGCCCAATACGACATCGATTTATAGTCGCAGCAAATTTAGTGAGACTTTGAAAACTACGGAAGCCGACTCGAGTGCTGCTCTTTGATTTTGATGAAGCTATAACGTTATTGCCTTGGATTCTGATGAAGGTGAAATGTTTCTCGCTTGATTGAGTCTACCTGGTGTCCTTGTCTTGATTTGTCAATAATTTTCAATGTGCCCTATGCTTACAACCTCATTAATATTATTTATTACCTATCCGACCCAGAAGACGGCACAACGCAAAACCGCCGTCGCGGCGCGGCATCTCCCGAAACATGTCTTGTCGCATCCCCTTTATGCTGCTTTCACTACGCTATACTATAGTGCCATATAGTATAGCAGCGTATAGTAAGCCAATCATATATAGTACAGTACAGTGTGAACGTGTCCATAATAATGTATGGTGCGCGATATTGTTGTGCTATGAGCTATATACTATATGCTATTATACTATAGCGTAGTCTGAAAGCAGCTTTACACTCTCGGCGCTTTTAGACTCTTCAAGCACCGGTCATCGTTCTCGAGGTCGTCGTGTAACCTAACCCATAGACACAACCCACTGAGTTTCTCGTCGGATCCTCTCAGTAGTTCGCGATTCTGATCCGGTGGTAGATTCAGCGTAGCACTGCTCTTGGTAGGTATAGTGTTGGCAAACTCTCTCAGGTTGAGCCCGTGAGCTCACCTACCAGTCACAACGTAGCTGGAATAGGCCCTTAGGCTACCAACTAATGGGTAGGGAAATAAAAATAAACAACGTAATATGATATTGAAATTAGAGAAATAACTTACATCCATAATGTCGTTGCTAGTTAGAACAGCGGAAACAGGCAAGACACCCCCGCTGAGTGCTTTGCCAAGTATTAGGATGTCTGGTTTCACGCCTTCATGTTCCACAGCCAACAACTTGCCTGTGCGACCTGACAGACATAAATATTGTTTTCATTATATATAATATATTACGAATACATTTATATGCTGACTGAAAACTCAAGGGAAGTTTATACATATTATAAATCAATGATACCTAACACACTAAATTACGAGTATCTGGGAATGAAACCTTCGCTCTGGATCAGTTTAATTTTTAATTTGTATTTTCTATATCATAGATATTATACAAAAAAAATGTCATTGTAAACTTTTTACGAGTTTTGTACAATTTGAAAGAGCCTACTGTGTGACCCGGACCATCCCTGCTCTGGATACTTTATCGAAAAACACTCTTGTTTTGGTACTACTACAACTGTTATTAAAAAACTATTGATACTTCGAAAACGTATGTGATCGTGTCGTATGTGACCGGCAGCTTCGGCAATTGAAAACTAAATGGAATGTGGAACCCATCTGATCATCTTCGACAAAGAATATTGTGTACCTAATAAAAGTAATGCCCAATCAGGGCCGGATTTAGAGGTCTGGAGGCCTCAGGACAACAAAAGAGCGGAGGTCCCCTTTTGTTTTCTTCTTTTTACGCTGGGGAATCCAGCGGATGCCCCCTGGCCCCAAATTATTTTCCAAATAAAATGAAATAAAAATTTCAAGTCGAGTTTTCCAATAAATGACTTATTCTGAAACCACGTAGATTCTCTAACAAACATATATTATAAATATAATCGGAGACAAGAACTATCTGAAATTAATTTTCGGAGGAAGGAAAAGATGTTTAGGTACTAGTGTTTACTTATCGGAATTTGAATATTTTTTTTCCAATGTCTATTGTGGGGGCCCTCAGTTTGTGGAGACCCCGGGGCTTTCGCCTCGGTTGCCCTGCCCTAAATCTGTCCTGTGCCCAATAGTAACATTAAATTGTATTGATATTATAAAACATACCTAATCCAGTCTGTACTTCGTCCGCAATCCACAACACGTTGTGCTTTGTACATAGCTCTCGAACCTTCTTGAGATAGCCGTCGTCAGGTATTACGACGCCTGCCTCTCCTTGAATCGGTTCAACCATGTAAGCCGCAACTGTCGGATCTTGGAGAGCTTTCTGTATATAAAAATCGTATTTATTATGTTACATTAAACCAATAATTTAGTTGTTTCACATAAATTTATATAGTTTGACTTAGACTTCTATTTAAGAATACAAAATCTAAATGTATTTAAAGATAAAATCTCTCACCTCTAAAGCTGGGATGTCGTTGTAGGGAATAAGAATGAAGCCCGGCATGTACGGTCCGAAGCCCTGGTAGCAGGTTGGGTCTGATGATGATGATACCGCCGATAGAGTTCGCCCCCAGAAGTTTCCTTCCGCAAAAATTATCTGCACGAATAAGAAATAAGAAATTCCAAAGCCGTACCGTGCAAACGGTACGGTACTACGATCTTACCCATTTCCGTCGCGTAACAATCATGCATCTAAATTCATAGCGTAGTACAGAAATTATTTCAATGTCTGAGAATTCGAACGATTGTCTCAACGATAGTGCTCATAATAGGCCTCATTTTCCTGATAAAGCTTAGAGGTTACAAAACTATATAGATCGTAAAAAAAATAAGGCGGTATTTTTTTCAAAGATACCACAACTAACTTTTTTTACAATCTTATTTATAATTACATACCTTAGCTTGGCCTTCAGGTATCTTCTTGACTTCGTACCCCCATTTACGTGCTATCTTGCATGCACTTTCACCTCCTTCAACACCCGTGTTCATAGGAAGCAGGCGATCATATCCAAATAACTCTGTCATATACTTTTCATACTTGCCAAGTTGATCGGAATAAAATGCTCTGCAACAAATTAACTATCAATGTTTGGATTTTTATTACATTGTGAAGTGAATATCATGGACACCGAATATATGAATGTGGCCACCTAATTTGCACCCTAAGGTCAAAATTAGGAAACCAGAAATCGAGAAAAGAGATTTTAATTAAATTAAAACAAATCAATCATTCAAAGACAACTTTGACAACCACTCACTATCAGGCGGGCTGTGTGCTCGTCTGCCTACAAGGGCAATAAAAATAATAATAATAATAATAACACGAATAGATAATCATGGGTTACCTTGACACTAGTGTCAAATTATCAGCTTGTTTCTTCAAAGCTTCAATTATTCTAGGGTGGCAGTGACCTTGGTTAACTGCGGAGTATGCGCTTAAAAAATCATAATACTTTTTTCCTTCGACATCCCACACGAACACTCCTGAAAGAATTATTTCAATATTTCAACGGTTTTTTTTCTATGGTAAAACACATTTATCGGCTATCAAATGGTAACTGTCGAAGCATCGACACACCACAATGTCCATGCCGCCAACCAACTTCAAACATGAGGTTAAAGTTGACGTTGACTGTTGAGGTTAAAGTTGACCCAATTATAGCGATAAAACGATTGTCAAAAGTTCTCGCAAAGTGGGTAGGCTGACAAACTGTTGAAGATGTCGCGGGAATCCACTGAATGCAAATTTCTTTCACTAATTTCTTATAAACCATTTCTATAATCAGGAACATCAATTACTTGTAGCTGTGTTGTCCTAATTGAAATTGCGATCGTTTTGTGAATTTCTCAATTTGCCGAAAATTTTATCATTCCATAAAAGCTTGTTGAAGATTTTACGAACGTACAAAAAAATTGGGCAATCGTTCAGTTGTTGTCAAGTAATGTGATCACCAACGGGTAGCAATTAATTTTTATTAACACGCTCTTATTTTATTAGTTTGGTTTGTATGTTTGTATTTAACGAAATCTTTGAACTTCATTTTCACCGATTCATAGCATACAACATACTCTGTACTATCTAAAGTAAACTTTTCTGTTCCACAGAAAGTTAAACAGATCAATCAACAAGATTATTTATAACATTAATAAGTCATTGTTATAAAAACATTCCGGTGAAAACAAGTGCATCTTTGTGTAAGTAATTACGGAAAAAGTCATTTGTGTCTAAATATAACCAGATAACCCTAAAGGTTATCTTGACCGTTCTTGACCACCATGCGAGAAAGTTTATTTAATATCAACTTAATATTAATAAAAATAATCAATTATTTTGACCTGACCTACTATTATATGGGAATAATACTTTTTTAATTCATCGAAATTGTAAACTCCATTTATCATTTCACCTGTGAACTAGATTACGAATTATAAATTCTGTAATCTATGTACGTATGAAGTTATTAGGTTTAAGTTATACGTAAAATTTTATAACCATTCATATGGTAAAAGCTTCGATCAACAAACGTTACTATTGTTGATCGAAGGGTAAAAGTGTAATCACCTCTCTAGGCGATGGTTTTAGACCAGATGCATTTGAAATTCCAGTATATGCATGAAGGAGTTTCATTTTTTATATATTATGTCAGCAATTTTTCATACAAATGTTTGCGGTTTTCTAAGAAAAAACAAAACTATTATAATAGCCGGCAAACTTCTTGAGCATTTGTCGACGTAGTGGGGGTAAGTTCGCGCATGGTACACTCACGTGCAAAAACATTATTTACTCTGCGTCATAATGCTATTAAATTATGAAAATCAACATATTATGTATAATACATATTTTTTTATTATTATATTAATTATTTATATATTTATTAGAACATCAACAAAAAATATAGGTTAATAATTGTAATAATTTAATCTTGGGGTAAAATAGATATTCCTTCTATTAAGTCAAAACTAGAGCTGTTGCCAGGTCTTGGTTCAGTTGAAGCGAAGCTGGTATTTGTATTTTTTTTTTCGTTATCCTAATCTTGACCATCATCATCATCACTGTTTTCATCACCCGAGTCGCTATCATCGTGATGAGTCGACATAGGGCTCATTGGTGTAGTTTACAACTCGGTCGGTTCGGTCTTCTTTTTTGTCTATAATTAATGATTTTTTGGAGATATTCGATTCGTAGTAATCGAATGTTACTTTTTTCAATTACCAGCTTCCGATTACTTTCTGTTTTTTTTTTCCTTCTGAAGCCTAGCTCTTTCATACTTCGTCGTAAGCTTAAATAGCGATAGACTTTTCACTGTACGCAAGCGTACTTTTGGGAGCAAGCGGAAAGAGGGCGCAGTGCGGGACGCAAGGTTCGATTGATCTACCAATAACGCGCTCGATACGATTTCCCCTGCCGTCGCGCCTCACCCTCACCACCAAAGTGATCTAAAATTCGGTTCTGCGCAGTCAAGGTCATTTGCTCAAGAAGTTTGCCGGTTACTATACGTCAGTATAAGTACACGCTGTCAGCTTTAATTCTGCAATTTGATTTGGGCGTTGCTTAAATTGGTCAATCAAATCAAGACTAGTATTAGGTAAAAGTAAAGTGCCAGTAAAAGGCAGTCACCACAAAAAATTTAAATGTACTTCGCGATAAATAACAGTAATACAGAAAAATACTGATTATAATGATATACATCTATATAAATTTTCATTATTAATAAGCCCCATCAGCTTATCTTAGAATGATAGGATAAAAATAAAATAAAATTTAGCAATGTCAAAAAACAGACACTGATATATCCTTATTTTATTATTAATGAATAATTACTGATATCGATTCAACTTTTCACAAGCAAATAAATCTCATAAAGTCATTCACTGTCTTCAAATGTGTCTCCTTATCTCGTTACCAATATAAATAGTTTATTTCGTCATTATAAATAAGGTCACTGTTAATTTTGTTTATCATTATCGTACTGACTCAGTGACTTACATTTAATATCTTGTGCTAAATTAAGAAAACAATGCGTAGATACGAGATGCGTGAAATTAGACATTGCAATTTATTTAAGACTTCATTTTATGATTTAGTCGCACGTACAAAATTCTAAATTTTTCTTCCCATAAAACCTTATTGAAGATTGTACGAATATAAAAAAAGGCAATCGTTCAGCCGTTCACAAGTAATGCAAACACCAACATGCAGAATTATCAAAAATAATAATAATACATCTTCTAGTCATCCTCTTGTTAGTATTAAATCCGTAACGACAGTATTGACGCGTGTTCTAAACGCCCAGTTCCATTATGCGATAGATTGATCATCATGATCATAGTCAGTAGCAGCATCGCTATGGCTTCTGGCGTTTCTGACGTCTATGAGCGGCGGTAACCGCTCACCACCGGGTTGGCCGTATGATCGTTTGCCTACGTGGATAATGAAAAAAATATGTAGTTTTTTGTCGTATTCAAGAGCATTGATAAAAAAAGCTTAAGAACGCGATAAAAATTGCTTACAGAGCCAAACTTGGGCACTTATGCGAATATAACTATATAGTGGAACAAAATACTCACAAAATAATCATTTTAAAGACCTACGTTCTGAGATTCGAACGAACGAACTCACGACCCGCCTGTTGTTAAGCCCATAGACGTCAACAAGGTAAATAATGCCATCCACCTTGAGATTCGCGTTCTCAGGCTCAGTTTTATAGTATCTACAACGGCTGCGTCACCTTTCAAACCGAAACGAATTACTGCTTCACGGCAGAGATAATAGTACCAACTCAGGATATTATTTAAGCATAATCTCTTGTATTAATACATCTTATGGGCACTTATCGCTCGGATTTCTTATATATGTGCTTCCGCATAGACTAACCTCTATAGACAAAATTACATGTATTTAAATAATTCGATAACGCACCGATCTTTAACCTCAAAACCAGAATTTTCTCATTATGAATAAAAAAGGATTTGGTGTTTATGATATCTAATTGTTATTCAACTTTCGCTCACCTGGACTGCGCTTTATATCACATTAGCGGAGTCCAGCAGTGGGATAAAAAGTAGGTTCACATTCCTTCTAGGCTCAAACTATATACATTTGAATTTCGTCAAAATCGATTCATTGGTTTGAACATGAGATCATAAAAGACTACCGGTTACTTTGCTATTTATAATATTAGTATAGGTGCATGATAAATGTCTCCCTATTTCAACCCCTAAACAATTAAACATCGCACTTTGAAGAGGGAAGCAGTCGTTTCTATGTACAATAAAATGAGGACTTCGATATTTTGCAGCTATGACATTCTCTCAGGTTGAGTCCGTGAGCTCACCTACCCGTCCAGGCGTAGCTAAAATAGCCTCTTAGGCTACCAGCGAATAGGTAGGGGAAAAAGAAAACTTAAATCACTTTTTTCCACGAACCCTAGCAAGAGTCGTGCTTCACAGAATCTACCACCGGATCGGAAACGCGACCCACTGAGAAGATCCGGCGAGAAACTCAGTAGGCTGTGTCTGTGGGTTAATTTACTCGCCGAGCCCTTCGTTGCAAACGACGGGTTCGACGAGAACGATGACTGGTGCTTGAGGTACCACCTAAAAGCACCGTTAGTGGATTGGGAGGATCCGAAATGACGTGTTTTGGACGACGTCGATTTTTTAACATTCGGTCCGCAGGATCGGGAATGAATTATGTCCGTAAACCATGTTTAACGCAGGAAAAAGAAAAAATAATTGTAAAAACAAACAGCTTTTTTGTCTGCATAGTGTGTAGCATAGGTAAATGTAGTAACACTAATCATTTTTTTTATGTTTTTGAGCCTTATACTTATACACCAACAAGTACAAGTTGTACGGTTACATTTTTTTTGTCGTATTCATTGTTTGAAATAAGTTGAACGAATTTGATAATGTCTATCTCGTTAATTGTGCTTAGTGCGAGTTTTTTAAGCATACAAAATTGGGCTAACTTTTACGCTATCGAGAACGTTAAGGAACTCGCACTAAGCACACTGAAGCATTTAACCGAACTAGTGGTCCCGCAGTAGTCGAAATTCGACTATAATTAATTAAATTGTAAATTTGTACACTATCATGATTCTATTTTCAAATACTATTATACTTCTATAATCACAAATTTCGCCAAGACTACAAAAGAAAAATATTAATAAAGACAAACAATAATTAATCTATTCTCGATTTGACCACAGACGTCAAGAACAAAAGTTTGACAATAAATAAATAGTATGCATGCGTGTGTGCGTCAAATACATGGTAGTGTGTGTAATGTTTTTTTATTGATTGAATATATTTTTTAGGCATAATATACAAAAATATTAACATTCTGCACTCCTTCCCTATATTCTCTATAAGTGTGGAAAATTTCATATTCCTCCGTCCGTGCAGTTTTGGTAAAAAGGGGTACAAAGTTTTTGCTCACGTATTAATATATAGATGAACGGTCTAAAGGTGCTTTTGTTTTACGTTGTTTTTTTCAAGGTTGTCATCGAACAACTTAAACAATTCAGAGAATCGTTTTTGTATGAAACAACTAATCATGACATAGATTATTTTTTGCATTTTAACATAATCAACAATGTTGAAGCTGTAGCCACGTTTCAATTTAATACACCCATTGTGGGCGACTCTGTATACCTATTGGCAATTCTAGTGTCCAGGACCCAAAGTTTGCTGGACGTGCTACCTCCAATTATTAGACAATGTGACATATCGAAAATATTCAGCATCCGCTTCCAATGTAATTTGGAATCGGTGCTTATGTGGTTTTTAATATGCCACTAACTTTTTGATAAAATATTTGCATTTTTTTACTCAATCAAGCATGATCCATTGAACGGATTTGGATAAAAGTTTATCTCGAGAAAGTTACTTTTTACCCTAGATGATAGTAATAGAATACTCTGATTATCTAAGTCTATACTAATATTATAAAACTGAAGAGTTTGTTTGTTTGAACGCGCTAATCTCAAGAATTACCTACAGGTCCGATTTGAAAAATTCTTTCAGGGATAGATAGCCCATTTATCGAGGAAGGCTATAGGCTATATAACATCACGCTAAGAACAATACAAGCGGAGCACCAATAAAGAATGTTTCAAAATCGGGGTTTTTTCCCTTTTGAGATCTTCCGTTGCGAGCACTTCAGAAACGGTTAGTTTCGCTAAAATAATGTATGACAGAATTGTTTCCCTTTAAAAGACCTAAAAAAAAGTCCGCGACAGCATATTATGTCTATATTTTATGTTAAGGTTGGCTCACTATAACGTTTTATGCTAACCAAATTTGTTCTAAAGTAAAGCATTATTTATGAACTATTCCACGCGGACGAAGTTGCGAGCAAAAGCTAGCCTATAGATAAAAGGCGTTTAAAATTTTCATCCTTTCGAATAAATGCGATTACACTGGCATGTTATCTTAATTCTTGTTCTAAATATAATGAGAGACTGTAATTTTTTTTCTTGTTAACTTTTTTCTTGTTAATTTTCTTGTTAATATATTTTTGTTGAAGTGAAAACAACGCCAAAAAATTCTATGACAGCATACTGGCATGCGTCCCGTTTAAACAGTGACCAGTATAGGTAACCAGAAAGGAACGCCTTCGCAGTATACTAAATTGACGTCACACCTTACTCCTTACAGCGCTCGCAGTGCAAATCGGAACGTAGCCGAAGTGTTGGCATTTCCTAGGCCCTGTTTTTTTTAATCTTTCCACTTGCTACTATGGCCCCACTTTAAATGGCGCTTGGGAGGACACTTTTTAATATATTGAGATGGTACTCCTTAGTTCTACTCTCCATAGTTTCAGTAACAACATAATATATTTCTTACCTTCACCTCGGCATAAAGCAACAGGCAAGGGAGCGTAATTTCTACAACCATATTTGTCTTCCAACTGGAAAATTTCTTTAGATGACAAATTTTGTTCAGCCATACTGTAAGAAATAATTAGCTTATTATAGTTGCTAACATGAAACGATGTAATAAGGCTTCGAAATCATTTTTAAGAGTAGGCATCGTTCATCTCTGTACATAAAAAGAAATGCTGTTCGTTAGTCTCGCTAAAACTCGAGAACGGCTGGACCGATTTGGCTAATTTTGGTCTTGAATTATTCGTGGAAGTCCAGGGAAGGTTTAAAAGGTGAGAAAATATAAAAAAGCTCGAAATTATATAAAAACAAACAATTTTGTTTTTCCTTTGATGTGTCCCCTTGATGTGTCTTTTATTTATCGATTGAGGCACTACGAAGTCTGCCGGGTCAGCTAGTCTTACAATAAATATGGTCTCAAAATACAAATAATAATACAGATATAAACAATAAACACCATTGAAATATAAACAACCCCTCACTAATATTGAAGATGATGCAAACAATGGAACGGTTAGTAAAAATCGACATTACTACTCGTAGATCTAAAGGCAGAGTTTTTGTTATCTTAGTTCATGGCGCTGGCTATACCTCAAGCTCTAACATTAAATAAATGAATCAATTGAAATACTTAATTATAATTTTAAACGAAGTCTTTGGATTGTTCTCTATGTAACTAAATATGTGTAGGTATGTATTTTAAAAGTTTGTGTATCCTATTTTATAAGTCACAGAAAATTTTAAAGGAAACTTATTTGTGAAAATTAGCCGTTTCTGAAATAGCAAATAGATTTTGAAGACAATAGTTATGAGGAAGGATGGGTGATTTTAGGTCCCTCAAGAGTCTCAAGCACCGATCATCGTCCTCGTCGAACTCGTCGATTACGATTGCCAGAGCTAGTGTTAGCAAATTCTCTCAGGTTGAGCCCGTGAGCTTACCTGCTAGTCCGGGCGTAGCTGGAATAGCCTCTTAGACTACCAGCGAATAGGTAGGGGAAAAAAAGAACGAAAAAAGATACTTATTGAAAAATCTCTAGTATGCTCATCGCTTTGACGTCGTAATGGGCCTTAATGGACGTAATTTTTTGTTATTTGATAATTATGCCCAACAAGTAAACAAAAGATTGTATATTAGGGTTGTATCCATAATATGTAGTCCCGTAATATACATACATATTAGTGTAGATTTTATTACCGAGATAAATTATAATTATTTACACGAAGGTTGGTCATTACCTCATGCTAATCTAGAGCAACAAAAAGCATTCTATTTCAAACTTCGATCAACAGTTACAATTGTTGATCGAAGATTTCAAAGCCTCTTGCAATTTTAAATTAATAATTTTCGCCAGTAGCTTATTGGTAAATAAAGATAAAATTGAGTCAACATTCTTATTATTTATACATTAACATCTGACGAGCGATATTAACTATTTTGAGTAGCACAGAAAATTGAATTTCTAGACAATAAATTTCTGTCCGCATCTGTGGTCTGTGAAGCGGTCTGTTTTAACCTACGTAGCAACTTTTTTATGGTATTTTTTATAATGGTTTTTTTAATGTGGTATCAAGAACTCGATGAACCTATCAAAACAAGTAGGTATTGAATCTTGATTTCCATTATTATTGAGTGCCTAATTCGGCAGCACACGGTTTCCATATAGCTGTTCTACAAGATTGTCTTGTAAGTAGTGTAAGCAAAAATATTAGTAAAAATTTTAGTTTCCAAAGTATCAAAGTTAATTTATTTTTTAAATGATAATGACATCGCTTTTTATTTGAAAACTCACTAAACTTTTAAAGCATCTGGTGTTCACGACCATAATCACTAAAACATAATTAACTATATTCCTTACATTTACAGTTTTGTTTTGTTATTTATATCTTTTAAGACGGAAAACAACTTTTTCTATGTTTTTATTGATAGCACCAAAGCCTGTCAACAGCTACTGAACAAAAAATCGCTTGTTTAACAGAGAAGAAAAAAATATTGAACTGTTTTGCCTTTCCCATTTATGCATATAATATATTTTATGATAAATTTTGATTAAAATACCTACATATAATTTGAATCTGATCCGTGTTTGTAATTTAGATATGCCAGCGTTCACAATAAAATGAAGCGAAAAAGAATAGAGTTGCGACTTTTAGCACAAGTCATTAATTACCTCCCGTCATTTAAACCAACAAAAAACACATGTTTCGGAGGCGAACTGAATCTTTAATCTTGTCTATATTATAATAATAAAATTTATTAAGAAAATATATGAATATATTTCGTAGGTAGATACTTACATTTTACGAAATTGTTACGATATGGTACGGTACTATTGTGCCTGCGTTGTTGTTTCAATGTGACCGTCCGACACAGAGGTGTGTCTACGTCCAAAATAAATCAGCGACTGACGGACGAAATGAACTTCTATGAACAGTATGAACGCTGCCACGCTGTATCCTACTCAAATAGTATACTGTACAGTGTACACACGATGCCGACGTTGGAAAAATACCGCACTCAATAAAATCTTGAGTCATATTTTAAATTATTGTCTCTTAACTCGGGATTACATCATACGGTCATCCAGGAGGAGATCGCTAACAAAGCGATAATTAATTAGCATCAACAATTTGAAGAGACGCCTGTTGAAATAAAACAATTTGCAAATCTACGTAAATAAAGTTTTATTTTAAGACAGACGTAATCACGATCCTCGGACACGCGTGCTTCACAAATTTATTTCAATAGGCGCGTCAACGCTAATATCTTGCTCTACAGTCTACACCAACAATTCAATTAGAAACTGAATGACTGACTTGATACTAGGATCTAAAGTAAATCAGCTGGCTAATATTGTTTTTAATATATTATTATATGAAAACAAATATTGCTACATTACAAGGAAAACATCGGTTTTTTTCTGCTGCTGACTGCAGTAATTGTTAGTTTTGAAACTATAGCATAAAATTAACCACCTCCAATCTATTACAACGCTTCAGGGACACAAATATGACGTTAAGAGCATACCATACTCTCGAAAAAAGACCATGTATTATGCGGTTTGAGACCGGGATTAAATGACGACAAATCACCTCAATCAATCAAATGAGACACCTCTGGCGATGAAGTCACAATATCGTGTGATTAAAATGAAACCTGCAAAAAATATGATTTGCGTAATAGCTGATAGTACGTATTCTAAGCTCCTACGGGTAGATATCACCTCCCGATCTGCTTCCGAAAAGCAGTTACGTTTTACGGATTAGGTAGGACAGTCTTTGTAGGTACTGTAAATCTGAGACTTAGAACTCTTATCATAAGGTGGGTAGCATTCACGTTGTGTCGTCTACGGGTTCCGGTAAACAATTAAAACCATGTGGCCCGTGAGCTCGTACACCTATGCAATTAAGAAAAAGATCTGTTGATTTTAGTAACGTTTGTTTTCAATCAAGTTTGTATAATTCGTGCTTTGTGACCCAGTGCAGAGTCTTGCCAAAAAGACCATTCATACTTGATGTTATTGACGGGCTAAATCATTTTCTCAAAAATCAAATCATGATGCTCCATGTAAGATGTTTTGATAACTTTTTCACATAAAAATTTAATCAGGCACACCTTTTTTATTAACATTGTAGGCGGATGAGCATACGGGCCACCCGATGGTAAGCAGTCACCGTTGCATATGGACATCAGCAACTCCAAGGGCACAGCGAAGACGTTGTTTATTCGTTTATTCGAATGGTTATTCGAATTTTAAGCTTCGCTTGAAGAAAAGCAACTAGCTTACTCCCAACAAAATCATCACTGAATTCAGATGATGCCCACATTATACCTTACTGATTAAGCTTCTACAGATTTGACTAATACGTCTCTTGTAAACTACAAGTCCGAGGATATCTTTTAAAACTTATTAATGCAATGGCGCAGTAGTTGGCACCTCTGCAGATGTTAACAAATCCAGACACACTATCTGCTAAACCGAGAGTCGTGAAGATTTCGCTATTTCTTTCGGTCAAAAGCTTCGTTTACATCAGAGACTGTATATTTTTTTTTTTTTTTTTTATTGCTTAGATGAGTGGACGAGCTCACAGCCCACCTAGTGTTAAGTGGTGACTGGAGCCCATAGACATCTACAACGTAAATGCGCCACCCATCTTGAGATATAAGTTCTAAGGTCTCAATTATAGTTACAACGGCTGCCCCACCCTTCAAACCGAAACGCATTACTGCTTCACGGCAGAAATAGGCAGGGTGGTGGTACCTACCCGTGCGGACTCACAAGAGGTCCTACCACCAGTAAATGCGTAGATGAATATTTGAAGTCGAGCAGCATCAACATCAATTACATTACGGACATTATAAACGTTGCATATAAATCTCTGAATGATATTATAGATGTTTTGTTGTTGATCTAAATTTTCAATTGATTCGCTGTTACGGAAATTCTTGAAAACTTCCTGGTACTCTGGATATTTTTTTAATGTTTTGTATGGTTTTAATTTTCCTTTCCTGAAGAACGCAGGATAAATCCCATAAATGACAGCTGATGTGCAGTAAAATATCGCAATAGACTAAGCACTCTATCTCACCCGCTTGAACAGTAGCTACCTCGCGCTCGCACCTACAGCGGGCTCTCAATGTGTCTGGCAAGATGAAGGAACCATTAAAACTGTCTGGCTATTGGGGTTTTTTTTTTTTTGTCAGGAGGAAATCGCCGTACTTCCGCCCTCCACTGGGGATGGAGGGCGGGGCATGTCAGAGTCGAACTGACTAAAACCTCCTGTCGCTCAACAACCAACGTCCAAACCTCGCATGAGACAGAACTCATGAAGAGGCAGAGGGGGGAAAGTGAAGCGTTTAGTGCGGAGCACATCTCTCCCATCACCCTCCCCCTCGGGACGCCGGACCGGCGGTCGTCNAAACCTCCTGTCGCTCAACAACCAACGTCCAAACCTCGCATGAGACAGAACTCATGAAGAGGCAGAGGGGGGAAAGTGAAGCGTTTAGTGCGGAGCACATCTCTCCCATCACCCTCCCCCTCGGGACGCCGGACCGGCGGTCGTCGGCGCCACGACCACCAGCCCTCTCGGTCGGCAGGCTATCCGAAGCCCGCCTAGATGGCGCCGATTAGAGTGAGCTATCCTACGGAATACACCGCTGGACCAGAACCAGCGTGAGTCGAGGATAGCCGGCCTTCCATCACCCAGATGCTCTTGCGTAATACGCGTGCAGAGCAGCTTGCACGTAGTCTTCTTAGGCCCCCCTCGCCGGTCCCCAGACCGACATGTGAGGGGGACCCGAAACACTTAGAGGGCCAGGGCTTGGGCGAGATCCGCCTCCCTGACCCCCGCTCGACGGCGGCGGGATTGTGCGTCTCTCACGCGCCCCGCCGCCTCCTTCTGCGAGATGGTGCACTCGCAGAAGTCGATGGCTATTGGGGTAACATATTTTAATAAGTCCCTAAGTAACATATATAAAATTCAGCTTTTATAGTATAACGAAAGTATAATTAAAACTTATTAAAGTTTAGGGATGTCCGGCAGGGGGTAGGAACTGTAAAAAGTGTCCGGAAATAGATATCGTGATTTCTAGATATACTGGAGTAAATAATAAAAAAAAATAACTTTATACTTTAACAAATTTAAGGTACTATTTTATATACCTTTACTGCCTGTTACCTGCCCAAGGAACCACAATCGGAACTCTATAATCAATCGTTCTTACCTGTGTTGGAGACATACACAGAGAAGATTTCAGCTTTTATAAAATAACAAAGGTCTGGCTGTCGCAGGTTCTTGCTCTATTACGTTGAATTAAACACATAAATATAAGTTAACAAAACAATTTACTAACTACTACTACTACATCACAGACAATCATTTAACATAGTAACCAATATCTACAAGAACATCTTGCAAGTCTGAAATTACTATAAAGTGTTCCTTGCATTTTATTGTTTTAATGTTAAGTTACAGCTATGTGCTTATTATATTTATGACCCATAATATTTAAGTTAGTAATATTTTTTATAGCATAATTTAACTGCAATTAATTAACATGTTGCAAAATTTCTACATTTTAATGAGTCTTTCATACACAAGTATTGAAAACAAACAGCTTTAAACATCATTACAAATAGTGTTACTTGTGCAATTTGAATAAGTTTTTCCATAATATTTTATAACTACAATTTCATTTTTTGTTTGAGTGGACACCTTCTGAGTCTCCAGTAGAATATTCATCATAAGTTGGGTACGACTGAGGCCCTCTCTCTGGAACTGCCGGGAGAGATCCGCCCTCTGCAAGCCTCTTCATTTCAATTTTAGCAGCATTCTCCTTCTTTATTTGGGCTATAGCAACATTTTTTGCTATTTCCTCTTCTGATGGTGGTTCTTTTCTAAATTGTCCAAAAAAATACGTCATAAAATACTAATTTTTTAAATACATCTTTATTTACCTTATAACTTATATCTTTATATACTGTTCCTTACTGAGTAAATCATCAACTCACAGCCTAAACAGCTGGCGCTCTACAAACATGATATTTTGACTACTTACCAAATTTTTTATGTTATAATTTTGGAAAATCATCCCTAACATAGAAAAGGGATCAACAAATGAAAAGTCAGTAATCAAGACATAAAGGATCAATGGTTGAATGGAACTCAATCATTTTCATACTAAAAGGCATAAAATTTCATATACTTGCTTCTATAGTTGTCTTGAGTTAATAATAAATGTACACATATTTTTATATATTTCAAATTTATCCCCTAAAAGGATTAGAGGATTAATCACTTTTAAAAGAAGTATAAAATATTATCCCAAATACTATAAATTAACATACTTTTTTTGCAAAAAAAGTAACATAAATAATACATTTATAATAACTGCAAAGTACCTAACACAATATGGTGATGCTCCAGTGCAAAACCAAGGCAGCTCGTTATGTATTTTTACTTTAAAACTTAGTAGCAAATTCAGGATTTAAAAACTAAATTAATCTGTATTCCATCATTATGCAATTGTATCTTTGATAGAACTACTCACTGGTGGTAGGACCTCTTGGGAGTCCGCACGGGCAGGTACCACCACCACGCCTATTTCCGCCGTGAAGCAGTAATGCGTTTCGGTTCGAAGGGTGGGGTAGCCGTTGTAACTATACTGAGATCTAACTTATATCTCGAGGTGGGTGGCGCATTTACGTTGCAGATGTCTATGGGCTCCAGTAACCACTTAACACCAGGTGGGCTGTGAGCTCGTCCACCCATCTAAGCAATAAATAAAAAATAAAAAAAATAAATCAAAGTCCTCATGTTTGAATGTAAGCAGTTGGATCTATATATTCTATGCTGTGTACATGGTCTATGTAATCACAGTCTATGTGTTAGTTCAGCTACCTATTCATACCAGTTAAAATCATTTTATGCAAATTTAATTAAGGGCATAAATATGAACTTCATAAAGTACCTTCTCATTCTCAACCAGGACTCCCATTCGGCTGGTATTGGATTTTGGAAATCCTGACCTTTAGGTGGATCATACCAACGTGATGGCTTTCTTTTACCTTCACTTGGACTAGCAGGTATTTCAAAATAAGTGTTACCTATGTAATCTTTACCTGTAACAAAATGTTTATCCATTCACTGCTATTCCTTTAATGTCCTTTAATTTCATTCCGTTCACACAGAAATGAACTAAACATGGGTAGCAGATAATCATTTTTCTAAATAAATGTAACCTACCTAACCTGTGGTAGATTCTGCGAAGCACTGCTCTTGCTAGCGTCAGTGTTAGCATCACTCCGGTTTGAGCCCCGTGAGCTCATCTACTAGTTAAGGTTACGCTGAAATAGCCTCTCAAGGCTATCAGCTTAGGTAGGAAAAAAAAGAAAATTCTAAACTCATAACTTATTAGCACTTACCAACATTGTTTCCAGTAACCTGTTTTGGTCTAAGTGAATTAATGAAATTTCTAAAAACAATGCGCCATACTTGTCGATATTCTCCATTAGACATCTGAAATTATAGAAATTGTAATAGTAGACTTCGAATTCGAATATTACAGTTCGAATGCAAATTGACAAATTGCAATTTTGTACAGACAGAAGCAGAATAATCTCTTTAAATAGAATTGGCAAAGGCAACCTAGCTCACATCGCTTAATCTTTATTTATTGAGTATTTAAACTGTGATTATTTTAAAAGGTAAAACAGATCTGAATGCATTGAAATGAAATTGCTTACAGATTTTAATATCATAAAATGGAAAGAGGTGAAATAAAACAGCACCGTAGGATAGATGGGATAAAATAAATAAGCTTTCGTTGCTAGAAATTAACTTTCATTTACTTTAATAATAACGTACAGTACAGACAAAAACTGCCATTTTAGAAGGCAATTTTCACTTTTATTTTTGTAATTAAAAGGTCGTATACGCATGAAATAAAGTTAGTATGTACATCAAAAATCCCGCTGAGTACCTATTTATTCTTAATCTATTTTCTAAAAAAAAATTATGACACTTGTCAGTTATGTCACATGCTAATTCTCAGTGTTACCTACTGTTGATCTAGTTGAATAGTTTACTCGTATATTGTTTAAGTACCGTTCTTAAAATTTCCAATATTTATTTCCCATAAGCATTTGCTCATTTTGAGAATTTTGTTAATTTAGAAGGTAAACACATAAATATTATTCATAATGGCGAAGATGGCATTTCAACACCAGGCTGGAACAGCTATGGAGTGTCTAAGTGTAAGTTAGCAGACCACTCCCACTTTACGTATCAGAGTTTCATTACTTGACTAACTAATACTTTTCGTTTTAATAGATACCGATAACTTTACAAAAAGAGGCTGGTGTTGACCCAGATGGAAGAGAAGTAATGAAATGTGGTTTTAAAATAGGAGGAGGCATTGATCAAGACTTTCGTAAGAGCCCCCAGGGATATACAGATAACGTGAGTGTTGTTCCCATATTCAAAATATAGATGGACTCCTTTGTTAAGACAACAAAATGAAATGAAACAAAACACAATTCTAAGATATTTTATTTATGTTATTCTGATGCTGAAAAAAATTATAAATAATTATTAAACAACATAGGATAATAATGTAGTATTTATGTGGTATCATTTTAAATTAAAATTTTAAACTTTAAAAGTCTGTAAAGCCACTAATATTTTTCTGTCTTGTAAGATTTGATTTAAAAGTTAATAATATATAATTTTTTTAGGGTATTTATGTAACTGAAGTTCATGAAGGAAGTCCAGCAGCAAAATCAGGTTTAAGAATGCATGATAAAATACTACAGTGCAATGGTTATGACTTTACAATGGTAACTCACAAAAAAGCAGTTAGTTATATTAAGAAACACCCTATTCTTAACTTGCTTGTGGCCAGAAAAGGAGTTACATCTACATAATATACGGCATCTTACTTATAAACAAATCTGTGTAAAAAACTTTAAATCGCTGTTTATGAGTTTATTATTTTATAAGGAAATTTATTTGACATACAATAAGCAAATTAAAAATTTAAGTGTGAAACATACAGCTAATTGGAAGTACCTACTAAGTTAGTAAAGTATTATATTATTATGACCATGAGTGATTATTATACTGTTATTTATTTTTGTATTTAAGAATTTAGCTGTTAAGTTTTAAGCAGATATGGGTTTGCAGTCTGTCTCAAAAACCTTTCATTGAATTTAAGTAATACATTTTACGGTATATTTGTACAGCATAAAACAGGCCTGGGGAGTTACCATTAACAGTAGTTAATAATTTACACAATGCATTTACATTAAACTGACAAATTCAGTTAAGAGATGCAAGTTAAGTTTTATTAAAGAGGATTGTTGCTACATCAGATATATTTAAATATGTAATATTGATAATAGCACCTTATTATTGATATTACAAGTCTTAAAGTGCAGTCTGTAAAGAATGATAATTATGTGCATGGCACTTAAACTATGAAGATTTTGTGTTATTTCTCAAAATATTTTCTGCTTTTTAATTACAATTGAATTTATTCTTAAATATTTCGTCATAATATAAAACAAATGTTTAGTGTTATTATTGGGATTTTTTATTATTATGAATTGATATTTCTATGTTAAGTGATAAGAGTATGATATAATTATTAAAAACATTTGGATGTTTTTGTATTGAATTCATTTTATATTTCCCTGCATGACATCTGATAGAAGACAGTGAAAACTTTTTTTTTTAATTGAAATAACACCTGTTTGACTTACCAACCCAGTTCATTTATTGTTTATATATCAAATCATCATCATCGTGTATCAAATCATGTTTGTTACTAGATTTATTTACCTAATTCATCAATTGAAATAAATAGGTTGCAACAGCAACTTAAGTTTGACAATCTTTCAATAAAAGAATTAGAGGCTGCCAAATGCAAAGAATGATTTCTAGTCCATGTTTATTACATACTAAAACAATAGTGACTAATTTTAAATATTTCTAAAACACTTAGGAACATTCTTCTATAAAACACTGCTTTTAATAATTTTCTTTATTGAGTTTAAATGATATAATTTACTACATATGCTACAATAATATTAACAATTAAGCTTTAGATGGAGGCCATTCCCATTGACCTTTAGGAGGCTTAGCCATTAGTGGTTCCCACGGCTTCCAATTTAACATCTTCCTAGCTAGGTTTAATTCATTTTCAGCTTGAATTATCAATTCCTCAGCTTGACCGCAGTTGATTTTCTTTTCGATTTCAAAGCTGTCTTTAGTCTGTAAGAACATTTTTAGTGACCTCTGATTAGTAGTGGTTTCAAAAGAGACCAGAAAAGCAAGCAAAGAATTTTGAACACAAAATATTAATTTTACGCAGTGATAAATCAGTGTAGATGAATATTTAATTTACTTTTCATTAAATTCAGTACAAACTTTATAGACCTAATTTCCATTACCTGAGTTAAAACCGCTGCTCTTTCACGTACTATTTGTTCCGTATATTTACGATAAACTGATGTTTCTGGCATTTTTTGGAGAGTACGTAAGATTTTACCATATAGGGCGCCCAAAGTGTGATGCGGATTTGCGGCGACTGCCAATCCTGTTAGACCTGTTGTCTAGAACAATGGAATAAACGTAATTACTAGTAGACATAAATTAAATGTTGTGTATCTTACATATTTAAATACCTTTTTTAATAAACCCATTATATGTTTTAGTTTGTTACACAACTGCAATGATATTCTACCAAATTAAAAATTATAAATTTGACTTGACGAATGACAGTTAAAGTATTTGATAGCNGCCAATCCTGTTAGACCTGTTGTCTAGAACAATGGAATAAACGTAATTACTAGTAGACATAAATTAAATGTTGTGTATCTTACATATTTAAATACCTTTTTTAATAAACCCATTATATGTTTTAGTTTGTTACACAACTGCAATGATATTCTACCAAATTAAAAATTATAAATTTGACTTGACGAATGACAGTTAAAGTATTTGATAGCTGTCATTAGTGTAGTAGTAGTTTTATTTTTCCAGCTCGAAAGGCAAAAGTGTCATACCATACACCTTAATCTTTTATATGAATATATATAAATATATATTTATAACACGAGGAGCTAAGATAAGTGAATTGTTTTGTTTTGTCTATTTAATGTTTCTTCAGGCGTAAATGTGTAATAACGGTGATTTATCGACTGTTTAATATCGGTGAAAACGCAAATTTGGGAAAATGAAACAAAGCCGCTGGACGAAGCTTCTCGCGATCTTCCAAAAAGTCCACTGGGAAAGTCTCAGTAAACAACCCTCCGAACAGTGGCCGGTAAGAAGTGGATGAGGAGAGCCGTAGACTGGGCTCAGTGGTGTGGATTAAGAGAGGCCTATGTCCAGCAGTGGACGACTGTGGGCTGTTGTTGATGATGATGATCATGATGAAACAACCTTCATTTTACTGAGATTATATTTTATCTCATATCATCTCATCTATTGCATTTCATTTAATTTCATGCCAATTGATTGGTGCTCTGAATTAATCAACTTCATCAAATTTTTCTTAATATTATTTTTCATAAAAAAATTATAAATGATTAATAATTTATAATTAAAAAAAATGGAACTATCACCAATTAAGTGTATAATCTATGACTATCACTTTATGTATCTACCTACCTACCTACCTACGGTATTGTTTTGAATTGCAATTGATTCCGATATAAGTGTATAATCTATGATTCCGATAAACACACAGAATCTGGCAAACAGGCAGACGATATTTAATAGACCATCCATTCATCCATACATCGGCATCCGTTACTAAAAGAGTAAACGTTCTGTGAGACTATAGCTGCAAATCTCAGATATGTAGAAGGATTTTTTTAGATCTCAGAAGTTCAATGTGTGAAAGGTGAAGAAGATTTATTTAAACGCCGTACGCTTGATTATAGAATATTTTTAATAAAACAAAACTATCTGCTCATTTCCCTTACCAGTGTCTACTATCGCATCCCATATTTCCGTATTACGCAAACTTATGAAGTGAATAAAATTTCATCGTGAGTGAGAAATCCTAAGGGTAAAGGGAGTAAAATGGAGAACGTTGGAAATAAAACTAAAGAAAGTAGTATGGCTTGACAGTGTCACTAGTTAAAGTGGTCTTGTTTTAAAACACTTCTAATTCTTCATGTTAAGTAGCATATTTGTAATAATATTAATTATCTACCTATACCATTTTATGGATTGAATTCTAGTGAAAATGTGTAACATATCGGAATGTTATTAATATCCCTCTGGAACTTCACCAATACGTAAGTTAGAAAGGGGAAAAATTCCAGGCCAGGCTACACCTTTCATCCCACACATATTTCCACTCCCATGAAAGGGTGCTTTGGATTTGAAAGACATTGAAAATAATCCACCTCCACTGTCTTTTGCCTAAACAGAAGAAAATATCCTGGCCGTTTATGAATTTTATTTAGATTATACATATTAAACAGCATTAACATTATATATATTATCCTTTGGTAAAGTGAAAGGTTTAAGATAGTCGTGTTTAAGTATCATTATATCTGAGTTCATGATACACAGATGCCTGGGCCCTATTATTATACTTGTATCCATGAAAAAGACTAGTTAGTCAGTGGAGGTATTATCTTATCAGATATCCATGACTGCTGAATGTAAATTGATTTATTTTATCCCTCTAAATAAAAATCAAAGCTCCCATATAGATCCTATATGTTGGTGTATGTGTTGGTTCCACAATCTTGCATAAAGATAAAACAATTAAATTAACTACATTAGAAATAGCAGACATTTAACAGTTTTGAAAAAATATACTTTTGGCATAAAATGAAATCATTATGTGACTTGATTTAAATAAAACCATAGTAATAATAAAACTTTACCTCAATATAAATGTAAAGAAGGTCATTTATTAAGTTAATCATAAATTCATGCACTTTTAGACACCCTCAGAAGTCTTATATAGCTGTAGAAAATCATGTGAGCTGATTTAATATTCTATGATTAATTTCATCATCTCAGGCAAAAATAAAATAGCTTTTTTTGTATCATTATAGAATCACCAGTATAATAAGCATTAATTTTCGAAAATTCCAGTTCATCATGGAGGCAGTGCCACAATCTGTTGATGATGTCTCTGATGCCAACCCTAGCAACATAAAAAATGACAACAGCAGTCAACACCATGAATCTAATAGTAGGGAATCACCTCCTCCTAACTGTGCAATATGTCTAGGAATGTGTCAAAACAAATCATTTACAGACTCTTGTTTGCATCAGTTTTGTTTTAAGTGTCTTGTAACATGGAGTAAGGTGAGCTATTTTACTATGCTTTTGTTTTCAAAGTTCCAAAACCTATATATTACAGCCATTTGAGTAATCTATTTAAAGTCTAGCAACATAGTTATCTATAGAGCAGTATTTTCACCTCTGAGGACTTAAGAATTTCCTTCAATATAATTTTTTTCATGGATAAATAACAAGCTCATCGTTTGTCTGGTTTTAAGTAGTTACTGGAACCCATAGACAGGACTATGCGAGTGCTGGCACCCATTATTGACATCTCAATAGTATTGTATACCAGCTTTCCAGAAAGCATGTAGAAGCATGACTGCTGCGCAGAAATAGACAGGAAGGTGGTACATATCTGTGTGTGCTTACATTACACTCCACAGATATGTCTAATATTGGACTCCACTGCAAAGGAACAAGTCTGGGTTAATTTTTACCTGTAGATTAGGTCTCCAGGAAAGGATATAATAAAATTTTAATATTTTTCTTAATTACATTTTCCTAGGTAAAAGCAGAATGCCCTTTATGCAAACAAAGCTTCAAAATAATAAAATACAATGTGATCAGCAGTTGTCAATTTGAAGAGTACAAAGTGGAAGAGCGCCAAAATGAAACAGTCGAAAGTGTTGTTATCGAAGCCCTGACAAGTATCTTGTTCAGTTACAGGTTAAAATCATTAATATTATGTCCTTGCTAATTCTCAAGTTCAGTAGGAAGAATCATAGCTTATCCATTTAAATTCTGATCAAAGAATCTAACAAGTAAAGCTGTCTGAAAATGATCAGTAGTAGCTCCACAACTAAAGCAACTCAACATAGAACTTGATTACAGTGTGACTTTTTGCAGAACAATTCTGACATCTCAACACAATTCATTGGCCGTTGAAGACTTCTTGCTGCAACACTACCCACAGTCCTCAAACGCGTTAAGCCTGCCATCCCGCAGCAGATCTTCAGCCTCTTTTCGTCGCATCATCTACGAACGTAACTTACGGGCGCAACCTCTCCCCGATCACACCGGCCGCTTTCGAAATTGTAGTCCCGGATACTACAGGTGATCACTTAAAAGCTAATAATTGAAATGGTGCAAAAATATTGTATTATGTGCTAGATATAATTTTGATCAATATTTCAGGTACAATATGTTTGAAATATATCGCCTCGTTCCCTGGTTAAACAGGGAACTCAACTACTTACTGAATGAAAACGTCAGCCACATTTCTTACGTATTAATGCGAATTTTGGAAAGATTACTCCTCTATGACATAACTTCATCACAGTTTCGAGAAGCGATGCGACGCTTTTTCGGCGAGAGAACGGAACATTTCTTGCATGAGTTACACTGCTTTGCTACCTCTCCATATGATATGAATGGTTATGATCGTAATGTGCAATACACCACCGAATCGCGCGCATTGACTATGGTCAATGAGGTAATATCTACTTCAGAATCGGACGGGAGCATTGACACCGACGTCGCTATGATACCGAACTCTGTGGCCGCTGAGCCTCCGGCCGGCCCTTCGGGGGTGCGACGAGCCCCGCCAAGAGCTGCTCTCGCAGCACATGCCGTCATGCCTATCGAAACCATCGCCAATTCCGACACCGACGACTCTTCAGAAGTGATGGTTGTTGGTTACATCAAGCCCCCGAAAGATCGAACACCGGAGCTGGTCGACCTGGTCGGCTCAGATAGTGATGTAGTTGTTGAGGAGAGTTCACGGGCCAAGTCTGGGCCGTCGGATACGAGACCGACGATCCCGCCTGTAAGTAAGCTCAAATTGAAGAGGAGCCGCGCTGGTGGGACAGAGTTGTCCGATTCGGATACGGACGACTCGTATCAATCACCAGCCCGTCGTCGTCGCCGACCTCGCATCTCGAACTCTGGTATGATGGCAAGCACGCATCGTACTACGCCAGAACCTACCTCCACCGCCTCAGAATACGACACTGCGGATGAGTTGACCCCTCCAAGTTAAAAACCGCTGTCTACGTAATTTTCGTAATCAGCAACGAAGGCTTTTAGATACCGATATATAATAATAGCCTCTAGAATAGTCTGTAAATTTGTATAAAAAAACGAACGGACTAAACTTATGCGTTCTGTAGTTTGCGAAGTTCGTAATTGAGATTCTCAAGAAAAAAAAAGGACAATATAATAATAACATTTCAAGTGAAATTGTGCTTGTTTGTGTGATCTTTTGCGTTGCAATTGAGCAACTTTTGAATGTGATTTTTTGCTAATAAATAAGGTTACATATTATTTAGAAATAAACTATGTGGCTCGTTCTCTCACAATTACACGTGAAGCATTCATGCATTCCTTGTTGAAGCCTTTATAATTGAGACTTAGACCTCGTATCTCAAGGTGATTGGTGACATTCATATAGCGACGCGTTTGGGCTCCGGTCAACGTTTAACTTCAGGTGGACAGTGAGCTTGTTCACCCGTCCAAACAAGAAAGAAACAATTTTTGACTGACCATAACACTGATAAATAGCGTTTAAATGAAAGTGTTATGTCCAAATAATTGCGTAACATATTTTACTCAAATATAAACTACCTACTTAGTGTAGATGTTTTAAATAAAAAACTTAAATATTTAGAAGCCTTTTAGAACAGACTCCGCTGTATATTCGTACTTCACAGTCATTTTAGTTTAGATTATTTGTACTGTCCAGGTGAAATAGATCATGCTCCATAAAATTAAGTAGCGTTTTAAAAAATTCATCCACCCTCAAGGTACGGATTCGGATCGATATTATAAAAATGAGGTTTGCAACTTCCCAATTATGGTCACAGTACTCACAATCCTATTTAATACAACTAATTTTAAAAAAAGCCTACATTCTGCGATAAAATGATGAACTACCGACATTTTTGAGCTTTTGTCGGGCTATTTATTCGTTCTTCACAATTTTTGTGTTGAAAGTCGTATAAATCTTCGATTAAAAGTGAATGTGGTGCTAGGACTATAATGGTAGCGTTCTTTGTATTATATTATTAATCGCATTGGATTATGGGAAAAAGAAGCTGGAACTTTCCAGTGATAAGTATGAATAATATACATAATACATTTGGTGACTTTGTTATAGATTAAATTCACTTTACTCGTGCTTAAAATTATCTTAGATGCCTATATCTTATAACAGCTATTATTACACAGTATTGAATTTATCAGAATAAGATTTTCTAACAGAAAACTGATGAACAGTGTGTTTAGTGCGTGTTTGTTAACGTTCTCGATAGCGTAAAAGTTAGGTAACTCAAATTTGTATGTAATTGGAACAGCGCCCCTAGCGGCAAACGTTCCAACTGCACACAAATTTGAGTTATCTTTTACGCTATCGAGAATGTTAAAAAACTCGCATTTAGCACGCTGAACAAGAGAGATTACGATAATGTTTTCAGAAATTATGACATCCAAAGCGACAAGAGAGTTTTAGGTACATAGCATGAATACATTAGAAATATAAAACTATAATATGCATTGATATGCAAATAGGAAAAATTCACCACAATATATGTATTTAAAAACCCGATATCATTTTAAATGTTGCACATTTGTTTAATTATGGCACATTGTATTTAATAATGAACATTATTTAAATCGTGTAATCGCGTAAATTCAGTTCAAAAATTTTTCAGCCTGTTTTAACTATTATCAATTTGGAAATCAAAAACAATCAATACCGTTACGAAAATAATAATATCCAATGATGCAGCTACACTCTTCTTTGTATGTTTTTTCGGTAGAGCTGGCTTAGTAACTGACCATTTACTGTATATTTTAGAACACAGTATTTAGCCACTTTACCGTCAGTTTTCTAACGTTATTTTTATTTAAACTCATATGCATTTATGAAGTACTTGGAAAAAAATATAGAATTAATTGAAAGTTTAAATAAAAGACATTAGAAATTAATCTCTTTTTTTATTCGCACGTACATTGAAAGCTTGGTACTCTGCTTTCCATGCAGCTTAATGTGGAATGTTCTATGGTTATTTGTGCGACATTGCTACCGTGACGGAACTCATATTCCGTAATTACTGATATTTTTATCGTACGATACCCGTATTGATAAAAAATATGCAAAATAAAATAAAATTCATTTGAATATAGAAGTTATTGACAGTCATACATAATTTACGTTTCAAATGGCCAGTGTTGTAAAACTTCAGCTTCATAGGTAGAGACCTATTATTACTGCACTAAAATAAAATAAACCGTGTTCTCTGAAGAAAGAATATTTAACGGAAATCCGACTAGTGAAGTGTGAATTGTTTGTTTATATAATATTTATAATATTTCGTCAAACTTTTTTTTTGTTGTTCCTACCTACCTATGCTGATAGCCTTGAGAGGCTATTTCAGCTTCACCCTAACGTGTAGGTGAGCTCAGGGGGCTCAAACCGGAGTGTTGCTAGCACTGGCCCTAGCAAGAGCAGTGCTTCGCAGGATCTACCACCGGATCGGAAACGCGACCCACTGAGGAGATCCGGCGAGAAACTCAGTGAGCTGTGTCTATGGATTAATAGACACAGCTCACTTAATACGCTCATAGAGCCTTTCGTCGCAAGCGACGGGTTCGACGAGGACGGTGACCGGTGCTTGTGGTACTTAAAAGCACCGCTAACGGATCGGGAGGATCCATAATAACGTGTTTTGGGCGACGTCGACTGTTTACTATTCGGTCTACAGGATCGGGTATGTCGTTTTTCGTCAAACTTGTAACCGTGTTGGAAAATGAATGTAAATCGTTGAACATGACTCCTCAAGTTCTTCCATTGAGAACTGACTTCATTTCAGCCTGACACTTTCTACGAGGAAGCGGGACGATAACGCTCTTATCGTGGCGGCCTTGAACTACATCTCCGACCCAACCAACAGCTCAAAACAAAGTTGCCGTTGCCCTACATTTGTCCTGTCGGATCCTCGACGAGTTCGACTTGCATCCTAGCGCATAGACACAACCCACTGAGTTTCTTACCGAGTTTTCTCGGTGGGTCACGATTCCGATCCAGCGGCAGATTCAGCGAAGCACTGCTCTTGCCAGAAGTATAGCAATTGACTTCTTGCGTTGCCATTGTTGCCAGTGTCAAGTTTATAAAGATCTATATTTATAAAATATTTACATTTTATTAAAAAACTAGCGACCCGCCCTCGCTTCGCTTCGGAAACATTAAAACACACATGAAACAAAAAAAATAAAATTAAAAAAGTAGCCTATGTTCATCAGGGACAATGTCGGCTTCTAATGGAAAAAGAATTTTTCAAATCGGTCCAGTAGTTTCGGAGCCTATTCGAAACAAACAAACAAACAAATCTTTCCTCTTTATAATATTAAGTATAGATGATATGTGGAACTAAATAAGATGAGGTAGATTGATATGAGGTTATAATCAATTGGGATGAGATGAAATAAAAGCTTAGTGAAATGATAGCTAGGTTTGGAGTTTTGGCGGAGCCCGAAATGCCACGTCTAGTGACTTTGTTTCCTTTTCCCACGATTGTATACTTTCACAGATGCTAAACAGTTAGTCATCATTAATACACGCTTAAACTTGCAGAAACACTGAATTTACATAATAAACAATTCACACAACTTCTGTCCGCGCGTTCCCGGCAAAAAACCTGCCAACTGGATGTTGTCTCAACTTAAATCATTAAATACCATTTTATTTCAAATTTAATTTTATTTTTTTAGATTAATTTATATATTAGTGTGACAGACATAGTAGATATAAATTAAGAGACTATATGTGTTTTATTCCCTTTGCCTATCCAATGGATAAATCAAACAAAAAAGTTTGTGGTTTAGCGGAAATTTGGTGTTCACAAAATCCATTTAAAATCCTTCACTAAACATCAAAGTAGTGATGATAATTTTCCTCAGTATTTTATTCGCTCATTCTCGTAACTCGTACACATATGAATGGACATAAAATATGTGTAACAACGTGGTTTTTAGCATAATATGTCAAATGTCCTGATTTAGTTGAAATACATTATTTATCACGTCACACTACAAAGAAATCTGTCAGGTACCTATCGTCACAATAACGTTGAAGATTTGAGACACATGATGTGGTGAAGCCACTGGAAATATCACGATAGGTAACGTCATATTCTCATAACGATATACCTAGAACCTCTCCATGACTTCAGAAATTGTCGTGTTACATATATTTGGCCCAAATTACTAGGAATTTATAAGTTAATTATGAAGTATCTATTAACTTGCTATTATTTAAAACTTTGAATAAAATATAAACTTAAAAGGTCACAATTGTGGTTACACAAATGCAAGTAAAGTTTAATCTAATACTCCACTTATTATGAAGTGAGTATGTATGTATTTTTTTTCTTACATGTACAATAAACTTCCTTAAATAGAAATATTGTTCAATATTTTTATGTCAGACATAACTTTGTCAAATTAGTATCACATTGTCTGCAGGGCAAATTCCATACATTGTTATTATCTACTTGAAAATTATGCTTGTTATGATAGGATTACTAGTATGCAATATTACCTTTCATAATAAACAATATTTACAATACATTCCAGGCAATCATGGCGACTATACCACAATCTTTGGATGATATCTCTGAAGCAAACCCAAGCAGCATAAAGAGTGATGATAGCAGTCCACATCATGACAACAGCAGAGGGTCGCCACCTCCTAACTGTGCAATATGTCTAGGAACATGTAAAAACAAATCATTCACTGACTCTTGCTTGCACCAATTTTGTTTCAACTGTCTTGTAACTTGGAGTAAGGTTGGTTAAAAACAAATTTTTTGAAGACACATTAGCAAACTAAATATCTGTAGGTCTTAAAAATAAACATTTAATGGGATTTTAATTAATTTAATTGGATTTTAATGAATTTAAGGGGATTAATTAATTATGTAATCTTCTATCAATCTTATAATCTTCTAATATTCAATCTTCTATCAAATCTATCTAAAATACAAGAAAATTTTACAGATCAATTCATCTATATATTATATAAAAATGAATTGCTGTTCCTTAATCTTGCTAAAACTCAAGAACGGCTGGACAGATTTGGCTAATTTTGGTCTTGAATTATTTGTGGAAGGTCAGAGTCCAGAAGTCCAGTTTAAAAGGTGGATAAATATGAAAATGCTCGGAATTAAATAAAAATAACAATTTTGTTTTTCCTTTGATGTATCCCCCGTCGGACGGGTTCATTTTGTTTGTTTTAAGTTAATTTTATACAAAAGTTTAGGTCTTTTATTTATCAATTGAGGCACTACGAAGTCTGCCGGGTCAGCTAGTTTGTAATATATTATAAAGATTTGACATGATAATAGTTTCTCTAAAATTTTCAGGTGAAAGCAGAATGTCCATTATGCAAGCAAAATTTTAAATCAATAATTTATAATGTTCGTGCCAATCAACAATATGAAGAATACCAAGTGGAACAGCGCCAAGTTGAAACTAGCCAGAGAATTGATATTGATACACTCACAAACCGAAGGTTTAGATACAGGTTAGTACAATAGATTTTGTTTTGTCATAGGGCTAAAATTTAGTAAAATTGCTTTATTACCTTAGATAAGTGTGCTGATAGATGTTAATTGGTTACTAAAGCCCAGAGACTTCACAATGTGAATGCCATCACTTAATTGTATGCTAATATGCCACCCTTCAAAGGGGAACTTGTGTATACATTCACAAATTAATATACTTCTATTTATTTCTTTAAAGGGTAAATGAGTGATCTGCTCACATGTGAGCTTAGTGCGGATTTTTTAACTTCCCTTCGTTTGCCGCTTAGGGTGCTTTTTTTTTTTTTTGTTCCAACTCCATACAAATTTGAGATAACTTTTACGCCATTGAAAAATTAAATAACTCACACTAAGTTTATTATTATTTACCAAAGTCCATAGACATTAACAACAAAAATGCCTCTTGCATGTAAAACCATGTTGAAACATAAGTTCTAAATCTGAGATCTATAGTACAACAATATCCTCTTCAAACTGGAATTCATTACTTTGAGCCACAAACAGGCCGCATGGTAGTACGTTACCATGCAGGCTCTAGAGACTACCAGTAATAGATAGAAATGAACAAAAAAGAGACTAAAAAAATAATATATTGGTGCAGAACTACATTGACATTGCCACGACGGCAGTCGATAGCCTTCCAGCAGTTGTTGTTACGGCACTACCCACTTGTGGCAAATGTGTTGAGTCCACCACGGCGTCGGCGCTCTCCGGCTTCCTTCCGTCGCACTGTGTACCGACACAACCTGTGGGCGCGACCACTCCCCGACTTCACTGGACGGTTTCGTGACTGTACGCCAGAATTCTATAGGTACTAAAAGCATTTATTAATGTTAAACCAATGTGATAGTGTTAACCTTGATATGCTCCCTTAAAATGGCTGTTAAATTTTTCAGATCTAATNACGGCGTCGACGCTCTCCGGCTTCCTTCCGTCGCACTGTGTACCGACACAACCTGTGGGCGCGACCACTCCCCGACTTCACTGGACGGTTTCGTGACTGTACGCCAGAATTCTATAGGTACTAAAAGCATTTATTAATGTTAAACCAATGTGATAGTGTTAACCTTGATATGCTCCCTTAAAATGGCTGTTAAATTTTTCAGATCTAATGCCACACAGTTACATCGTCTCGTGCCCTGGTTGAATAGGGAGCTTAGCTACTTATTAAATGGAAACGTAGGTCATATTTCTTACGTGCTGACCAGAATCTTGGAAATGTTGCCTCACCATCACATAACTTTCGGGACCGAGTTTCGGGAAGCGATGACACGTTTCTTTGGTGACAGGACAGACCATTTCTTACACGAGTTGTACTGCTTCGCGTCAACACCCTACGACATGACCGGATATGATCGTAATGTGC